GCCATGCTGGGGGCAGAGAGGCCAGGAGGGGCTTGGCTGAGCCACCCAGCGGCAGCCAGACGGGATCTCGCCTGGCCCTGTGCAACCTGCTGAGCAGGTACCTGGAGGAGCACCTTCTGGCCCACCGCAGGGCGGCCTTCCACGGCAGCCACGAGCTGGCTAGTCCTGGCCTCCTGTGGCAAGCAAGCCTAGTGTGACTAGGAAACCTCCTGCAGCTTGTTGGGTGGCCTGAGACCCTCCGGACCGTGCCTGCCAGACTCGGATGAGGGAAGAGACATTCCACGTCTGCTCAGCCCCTGCCTCCTGGCTGGGGCAGGATGCGGCCAGGCCGCCCTGCCAAAGGTGGTGTTTTCGAGGGAAGCTTGCCGGGCCGATCATTGGCCTATTATCAAGGCATGACGCTTGGTTTCCAGGAAACGGCTCTGTGTACGCGACTGCCACCGAGAGATTATAATGGTGATAATTATTATTATTTTGGGAAAGATGTAAACAAAGGCAAATATTTTTCAAGGGCTGACCTTGTGGGTCTGAGGGATGCAATAACATTTCTGTCTAGTAAAAAGAGGCTGGAGAAACCGGAGACGCCAGGGCCTCATTCCTCTGGGCTCAGCTGTTCTGACCTGGGAGGAAGTGGAAGAGTCACTCGGGCGACTCCCATTTATAGCCACGCGAGAGACGTGCCTGGCATTCCTCGCATGGAAGAGGCAAACCCAGCCCCGTCCACACAGGCGACGCCGTAGGCCCGTTCCACCCCCAATTTGCAAGGAATCTTCATGCACCGAATGCAACGACTTGTCCATCATGAGGACCATCCCCTGCTTATTGTGCTAGAGGTGGGAAGAGGTGGCCTTCTAGATATTGTTGGGCTGCAGCTCCCAGCAGCCCCAGCAGGTGTGGACAATGGGCAGGGAAGATCGGAGCCGCACTCCCACGGCCGGCGTTTGGAGCGCAGCCTCTGACTTACACCCCGCCGTCCTTGGATGGGCTGTGTGGTTTGCAGAGTAATATCCCGCAAAGGTTCCCTGCTGCAAGGAAGCTACAGTTGCAAGCTGCACTTCAGCGCATGTCTGTCCTGCCTCTTGTCAGGGGACTCCGTGCTTCAGGTGTAACTCGGAAGGTAAGGGCAGGTCCAAGCTAAGGCTGAAAAGGTGATGTAAGCGAAGGATAATGCCTTTTCTCAAATGGCAGATATATAGGTGTATCTTCTCTTTTTTCTTACAAAGAACTCAAAGTGGCTTATATACACTGCACTGGCGCTAATTAAGAAATAAATACTCTAATCTTCAGCCATGGTCTCAAAGGGCACTTTCCAAACTAATGAAATTAGAATCAATAAAATAAAATATGGTACAAATACACAACAGAATAATAAAACACAAATGGAATGGAATGGACAGAGGCAAAAAATTCAGCAGATAAAATCTGCTATTTGACATAGGCACCCAACCTATGGAATTCACTCCCCAAAGAGGTCCGCCTGGCACCGTCGTTACTGGTTTTTCGGCGCCAGGTAAAGACCTTTTTATTTAAACATCATTTTAATTGTTAAAACATATGATCTGGCCAGGGCAACTTCTTCTTCCTTCTCTTTCTCCTCCTATATTTTTATTTACTTAATTTATACTGATAATTTTAATCTTATATTTGTAAATCAATGTATTTTTTGTATTTTGTAATTAATGGTAATTTATTATGTGCTATTGTATTTCATTGTATTTTATTGTGTTGTAAGCCGCCCCGAGGTTTCGGCAAGGGGCGGCATAGAAACGTAATAATAATAATAATAATAATAATAATAATAATAATAATAATAAAGATAGGCATGGCTTGGCACCGGAAAGGTATTAACGTAGGGGCCAAGCAAGCCTACTTGGGAATTTCCAGATGCAGAAGACAACACACCTGGAAACTCCTCCCCAGTCATCACCAGACTAGCCTCTGAAGACAGGACATGGAATATAAAATAACATTCAGGCAGGTTGAGCGAGCACAGATGTGGTGTAGGGGTTAAGAGCATGGGACTGGGACTCAGACGACCTGGGTTCGAGTCCCCGCTCGGCCATGGAGCCAGCTGGGTGACTTTGGGCCAGTCACAGGCTCTCAGCCCAACCTACCTCACAGGGTTGTTGTTGTGGGGCTAAGGTTGAGAGCAGGAGAAGAATGATGCAGGCCACCTTGCGTTCTTTGAAAAACGACTGCAAGTTTCCAGGTGACCAAGGGGATTGTGTGAATTAGCCATTCGGCTGCCCTTTTGCCTCTCCGTTGTCATCATTACATTGCATTGATGTCCCGCTTTTTTCCTCTTGTGAGGCAACCAAGGCAGCTTAGTTCTCTGCTGCATTTTTTATCCTCACAACGACCCTGCGAGGTAGCTCAGGCTGCGAGAGAGTGACTCGCCCATAGGCACCCTGTGAGCTTCATGGCTGAGTGGGGACTAGAAGCTGGATCTCGCAGGTCCCCTGTCCAGCCCTCTCTCTTTAGGATCGCTATGGCTGCCTGCCACCTGCACCTCCTCTCTTGCCAGCTGCCTGCAGGAGAGATGCTCCAGTGCTGGATTTCCACCTTGCCAAAGAGGCTGTGGTGTGGCTTTGAACGTGTTACTGCAGGCTCCCTCCAGCTTCTTCCCCAAACACAGGGCGGCTTGTGGGGGAATCCAGGCTTGAGAGGTCAAGCTCCCCGCTACGTGGCAGAAGTATAAGACGTCGTGCACCCCAGGAGGCCTGGGTTCCAGCCCCTGCTCAGCCATGGAGCCGACTGGGTGACTTTGGGCCAGCCACAGCCTCTCAGCCCAGCCTACCTCACAGGGTTGCTGTTGTGAGGACAGAGTGGAAGAGGGGGTGAGAACTTCGTGAGCCACCTGGAGTTCCTTGCAGGAGGAAGAAGGGTGAGCTATGGATGCAATGCGATGATGATGATGATGATGAGGGTCACGTGTGCAACTCCTGACAAAGTGGTGTTCAAACTTTATCAATCTATTCCATGTCTATATGGAGCAATACATGTGTTGGTTTTCCAGTGCCGCAGGAGTCTGGTGGGTGGACTTCTTTCTTTTGCTTCAACGATGCGGTTCCTCCTCAAAAGGCAGTTGGTTTTGAAATGCCGGTCCTCTGCAGGTGGGTGGCAGAGCCCCGTGGGACACCATGGATCCTTTTATAAGAAACGGGGCAGAGCCATGAGAAAGACACCCAGGTCCAGAAGATAAGTGTTCTATCCTGCAATGCAGCCTCCCCCTACATGGTGCTTTCTAAATGCCTGGACCACAGCTCCCATGCTCCCCAGCCACCATCCATGCTGGCTGGGGCTGATGGGAGTGGTTGTTCCAAATATCTGGAGGGCACTAGGTTGGAGGAGGAAGGCTGATGCGATCTTTGTTTTCAAGATCGTGGAAGAAAAAACACAAATTCCCCTTCCCTGCTCAGTGTTTTGGGCAAAGAAGACATGATGTCATCCACACAATTAACAACCAAGGGACTTTTAAAAAGTTGAATATATGTGGTGGAGGGGAGTTTGGATTGGGGTCACAGAGGTTTGCCCCTGCTCAGACTGGTTTCCCTCTTGCTGCTATTTCCATCAGGTGCTTTCATTGGCACTAAGATCCGCTTGTGGGGGGTGGGGGGGGAGCATCGATCCAGACAGGGAATGCAGCGTGGAGACATTGTCAAAACGCCTGTGCTCCAATCTGGGTGGAATCCCAGTTTGCTTTTCAGAGAAATGGCACTCTTGCCAGTTTCGTGAATAGCACCATCTCTGGTCTGGCCTTTACTTCCTACAGCATCTGTCCATGTGCAGAGAGAATCTTGGAAAGATCTCACGGCTCCCCTGCTTGCAGCGCTAACACAGGAAAAGGCTGTTAGCCACTGGTTTCTTTTGCACAAAAGTACTGAGATAATCTCCATTAATCACTTGAAATGCATTACAGACTCACGCCCACTGCAGTTCTGCACAGATCTTCGCTCAAACTAAGTCCTAAGAAACATGCGATTTTAGCCCAAGGAGTATTAAGGGTCTTATATGCCCATCCTGCTTCCAGTTAGGGATCTTGTGAGATTATTTTAGCTTGCACTACTAGAGAAAGCGGCATCTTAATTTATTATATCGACACACTGCCTTTTTCCTGCAAAGAACCCAAAGGAGCTTACAAAATTCTCCCTCTCCCCTCCATTTTAGCTTCCACCCGTTTGCTTGTGTGCTCACTGTGGGATGAAGTTTCACTGAATTGTAATCACATGTTTTCAATTGTGTTCTTAAATCTTGCATTTTGCCTGCCCTGTATTGCCAAATCTTGGATTTGGCTCAGTCATCAACTCAAAAGAAATTCGAAGAAGTCTGAGCAACGGAGGATGGGCAGCCAAGGTATCGCTGGGCACCTTTCCTGGTGCACCGCCTTGCCCGACCCTCCCCACTTTAACGCCCCTCCGCTATTTCTTCTCAGGAATTGGCACGGTTGTGAAATAGTTTTCTATTTCGTGTTTGGTACCCCATCTCTGCCTTGAACTGACGTATGGGGCACATTACTTCTCCCTGCAGAGCTTGCCGTGGCAGCCATTTTGTGACAGTGCCCAGGACCATTTCCCAGCTTACGACTGGGCTACCCTCTAGCAAGCTCAGTTAAGGATAAAGCGGCTTGACTATTCAGGGACGACATGCCTTTGCCTTGGATGATCTTTCCTGGGCTTGCAGCCCTGCAAAGAATCTTCCTAGGCAAGGAGCCCCCAACTTTATGCCTCGTACGCACGGGCGCCTGACTCGCCGCTGCGGCCCGAGCTTGCCCTGATGCGCGCCCGGAACCCCTTGGCCGCCCGGGCGCCCGCTGGGGGCCTCGCCTCGCCGCGGAACGGGCATCCCCTTCCAGTCGCTCCTCTCGCCGTCGCCTGCGTGCCGGACGAGTCCTGACGTGCGGACGGAGGTCCGTGCACGGCGTGTCCCCCGCAGCCGGGGGTCTCCCAGGTGCTGCGCCCTCAGGCAGCTCCTCCGGGTCGAAGGAGGGTTCGCGAAGGCGGATGGGAGCGAGCGGCGACTCGGACCAGGGCCGCGGCCCCACGGCTGGCCCCGGCGCGTCCCCGCTGCAGGCGCGGCGGTGCGGCCCTCCCCGGGCTGGGGTGGGCCAGACGGCCGGAGAGGCGGGGACTCCGCCGCCGGGAAGGACGGCGCCGGGAGCGGGCGTGCGGAGCGTCATGGCGAGCGGCGGATGCGCGGGGCTGCGCTGGGGCGTGGCGGCCAGGTGCGCGCCCTGGCTGCAGGGCTGCAGGTGCGACCGCGGGACCGCCCCTTCTGCTCGGCTCCCCTCGCGGCGAGGCTCGCCCGCGGCCTCTCGCCCGTGCCTTCCGGGAGGGGCGGGTGGGCGGCCCTCGAGCCCAGCTTCCCTGCAGGGCAGGCCTTTACACGCGCCCAGAGCTCCGCGCCTGGGACGCTCCTTCGCGCCCTCCCTGGAGTAAAATACCTGACCTGGCCTGCGTCTCCAGACCTCGGTCCCCCCCTTTGCACCCACGCGTGTCCTTACTTCCTCCCCTCCCGCTGCTGCCCCTCTTCCACCTGCCCCACAACCGCAGCGCTTGGGAAGCGAAAGAGAACTGAGTGTGTGTGTGTGTGTGTGTGTGTGTGTGTGGGGGGGCTTCTGGGGCTGCCGACTTCGCCCCCACCCTTCGTAGGGGCGCAAAGCGCTTTCAGCCCTGTTGCTTCCTTTTGCCCTCGCAGACTGTGCCTCCTGCTCCTGGAAAGGCATCCCTGAGGCTGTATCCACCCCCCACCCCACAACCCCAGATTAGGCCATGCCTCCTAATAGATCCCAGCCGCAAATTCCTTTCTTGCCCCCTTGGAGCATCTCAGCCTTGCCTGCCTCCTGCCAGCTCAGGCTCTGTATTTTCCGTTCCTTGTATTTGTACTTTGCACCCTGGACTTTCCCAGCATGATCAGCAAAGTGTCCTTTGAGAAGTAAAGACCAGCACCTTGGTTACCGCTAAGCTTTGTGGATGCGCCTTTGCCGTCAGATGGGTGAGAAGTGGGCCTCATCCGCAGCAGCTGAAGATGCAGTACATTGGTTAAGGGTGCACCTCTGTGTCAGTTTAGACAGAAAAGGCGTACAAGTCCCGGCAGGAGTTTGCTGGGAGTTGAAGGCCTTTTTCAGGCTGGACTTGCCTAGAATTGCACCAAGCCTGGTAAGGTAGCACAAGACGCACAATTCCGTTCTTGCTGCAACAGACTCAGCGTGGCTTCCTCTCTGGAAACTTTCCCAATCTGGTTTCAGTTCCTTTCCTGCAGGCTGATCTCACTCATCTGTCCTCTTAAAGAACGCTCAGTCCATTTTCCTTTTTCCCGCAGTTCCTCTTGCCTTACTCTTAAATAATGCGCCTAGCAAATGAGGGTGGGGGGAGAAACCTAATAAATGGGGTTCCAGCCCCTACTTGTGCCAGGCAGGATATAAATATCAGTCAGTCAGCCGGTACCTTTTTGGGTCTGCAACTCTTGCAAATGCGTGGGGAGGTGAGACACGCAGGTCCCAGTTCTGTCCTGCCCTCGTCTCCTGTTCTGCTTCCAAGAAACAGATGACTGTTCAGTTGGCCAGGTTTGGCTCAGGGCTACCTGTTGCCAACCCAACGAGGCCTTGATTTATACTGGTAATTCTCGTTGTGCAAGCTGCCAATCCAGCTGAGGTATTAAAAATGCGTGTATGGGCAAGAAGATCGCCATATTTTGGTCCTCGCCACTTCTGCAGCCTCAGATGCTCTGACTCGGTCGCTTGCTTGCTGGAGCTCCCTTTCTGCTACAGGATGATGCAGACTTTGTTGTTCTACCTGCAGACTGGAAGCCCGTCATAGGCATGCGATCGATACGGCACCATTATGCTGAATTCTGCCTTGCTAAGGACGGCTTCCGCTGTTCCCGGGAAACGGCAACTGTTGTGCCCTTGCCATTAAGCTGTCTGTGTTGTGACTGCATAACCCGGAATTAAAATTCTCCATTAGTAAGAATATGAGAAGACCCGCCCTGTGTTCACACACGGCCCTCCTCTGCTGCAGATGCTTCCAGAAGAGGATTTTATTGTGCGATCAATGTGCCTCACTCAAGCTCCAGAGAACCAGGCTTTTCGCTTGTAAATCCCCCATGTTTGTCCACCACTTCTGCCATTTCCCCCATCGCAATCATTCTGACTGGACTGCTTCATGGTGCTTGCTCATTGCTAGCGTTATTCCAGATCTTTAGCCGAAGCAAAACATCCCTGGCTCTTCCGTTGCTTCCTGTCCTTATGGCGAAGCCCTGGTGCTGAGCACCGGTGCCGTGGACACGATCAGGGGACGCTGTGCCCAGGGCTGCCTTCCCCCTTCCCCCTGCTATGCACAAGCTGCTCTTCTTTCTGGTTAGCCTTAACTGGCGGGGCAGCATTGCTTCTGCTCTGTGTTCGCACGGGTAGTTCGGAAGTCAGGGTTGGAAGCCGCTCTGCTTATTCCTTAGTAGGGTTTCTTAGCACCTCTGCAGATGTCGCATGATTGCCCCACGTTGAAACGGAGTTGGAAAGGGAGGGGGATTCCTAATGGGCGGAGGGGAGCGGAAGGGAATCGCCTCATCATGGTCAGGATAGAAGCTGCTAGGTCTGTGCTAGGCCACTGAACGTTGGCCTGCAAGCCTTTGTTGGACCAACCGCAGATGATGCTATTTAAAAATGAGACCTAGCCTGCCTTCAGGGGACAATGACATACATGAGTGCCTCTTCTCTCGCTGCAGAAGGAGCACTTTTGAGCAAGGACCACGGGGTCCCATCTTTCGGAGCCTGGCTGCGCCTCCGCAGCCCCGAAGGAGCTATCGAGCCGCGCTTTGCACGGAGCTGGCGAAGCCGTTGGTTGTACGCGATGTCCCATCCTGTGCGCTGCAGCCACACGAGGTAAATGGGGCGGTGCCGGAGGCATCGCAAGATCCATAGGATGCACCTGCGTGAAGCCGGCTTTGTGCACCTGAGAGATCAAAAGGTGTTCCAGAGTTTGTGGTTATGATCCTGACCTGAACAGGTCCTTGGAGAAGGAACGCAGCCTCGCTCTCCGTCTCGGGTCATTCCCAGCACTGACATTTCAAGGTGCTCCGCATGCCTGGAAGGTTGTTTCTTCTGTTTGCTCCCTTCCAGCTCACCTCCAGCTTCCTCTTCCTTTTCTGGGCACGTCACCAGGATTTTGGGAGTTGTTGTCCCAAGATATCTAGAACGCACCATGTTGGGGAAGGCCGACTTCCTGGCTCATTGTCCCAGGAGCTGGCTGTCTAAGCAAGCGCTCTGAGCACCATACGTAGAAACAGGGCGAGTCAGAAGGGGCCTCCCAGGCCATCTAGTCTGACCCTCGGCTCCAGCCGGCTCCACTCACGACATGCCCACCATGTGTCTGTCCAGCCTATCCTTGGACACCCGCACCGGTGGGGCCTCACCCACCATGTCCATACTCAGAAATACCTTCTAATGGGGCTTAGTGGCAGCTCAGTGTTTGCAGACTGCAGTCCTGTGTGCAATCCTACACGTTTGGAGCGGGGGAGGGGGGAATTGTACAACTCCCAGCATTCCCCAGCCACCCAGCAGGATTGTGCCCCTAGTGATACGGAATCGCGCGACTGGTTTGTTGTTCCCTAGGGTACTCCAGGAGCCAGTGAACCCCCAGTGGACCTTTGGTAGAAAGTAGATTCATCATCACTTTACAAACAGACCAAAGTATTTACTAGTCCACCCAAATACATTCCAGCCTATCTGTGATCGATATGGCGTATTGATAACCTGAAAGGAGGAGCTGGGGTGGAGGAACCCATTTCTTGGCCTGGTTGCCCCAAAGTTATTCCTCCTCAGCCAGGGAGGAAAGGCATGTAGGGGCTTGATTTATTATTTGGAAAAGATACCATGTGACTGACTGGCACTTGAGAGACCTTCTATACCATCTGTCTGTAATAAATACCGTATCCTTTTCTAAATCCAGAGCCTGAATCCTCACGGACATTCACATGCAAATGTGTCCCATGTATGGGTTTCTTTAAAAACAATGGCTGTGCTGGTTGGGGATGATGGGAGTTGTACTCTGGTGCACATTTAGTTGTGCTCAGTTCAAATAATAAAGCAGGTTCTTAGGAGTGCTGAGCATTCCTTTTTTATTATTCTTTGTGAGCTGCCCTGAGGCTTTGTTGCGATGGGGGCGGCATAGAAATGTTTTAGATAGATAGATAGATAGATAGATAGATAGATAGATAGCTTAGGTACACCTTCTGTTTGAACAGACCTTGGCCAGTGTTCCTTTAGTGTAGAAACAGTAGTTCTCTACACAGTAGAATCTTTAAATTTCACTGAAGTCTGCAGCTTTTGATCAAGCCTTGCAAATAAGATGACCATAGTTAACAGCTTCTTTTTATAAGTCCAATGGCCTGCAGAGTCTTTTGTGACACATCAGTAAACCTAGAAAGACAAAAGGACACATTCATTTTTGGGTTACCAAAGTTTCCTTGTCTGGTTGCCTGAAAGGGATTTTTACTCGCCACAGGTGACTCTCCTATATCAGAGAAATGGGAGGGAAAAGAGTGACCCCCTTGCCTCCATGCACCTGGAACAAAATGGTTCGTGTTCCCCGTAACTGTCTTCTTAAAGGGAGCCGACGAATCCAGTGAGTCAGTGATGCATTAACACTTAAGGAAGGCCTTGGCAATTACAGGCAGCCTATAAATATATGTATACATAAGTAAGTAAATTGCAACTCTTTCTGAGGCTCATTTGCACGAGGAGTTCTGATTGCTTCTTCTCGTAGGTCAGAATTCGTGTTCGTTGTTGTGGAGTAAATTTTGCTGATATACTGGCCTGCCAGGGTCTTTACCAAGAAAAACGGCCCCTTCCATTCACACCAGGTGAGCCGCAAAGACTGCTGGGCGTGGAATGGCTAAGAAGCTGTTCAGAGGTGCAGGTACCCTTGGGAGGGGGAAAAGGAGAGCCACCCGGAAACCTCAGTGGGCCCATCCGGACAAAGCCGCTGAGGTCTATTGGATGCAGTAGTTGAGGGAAGGAGACTCTGCTCATGGGAGTTGTCAGCCTGTGAGGCAGAAGTGTGAGGGCAGGGCAGGGCCTGTGGAAACGGTGTGGAACATGTACTCCTCTAACTGGCACATTTGGCAGGAAATGCGCATGATGCAAACTGCGCAGCGGTGATGTTTGCCGTAATGTGTGAACCTGGCCTCTGGGTCTGTTGGCCCGGTTGTGGGTTAAATAGCCCACAATGACCATGGCACTTGGGGAAGCCATTTGCAGCCCCTACTCAGAAGCTGTGTCGTAAGGACTGGGTTATGCACATATGAACCCTTGCATCCCTGTGGTTTGTTGCATGGTTAGGGTTGTTTAACCCTTGCATAACCCACACCCTGGGTTCACACAGCAGGGCAACCTCAGTCAGCGGCCGAGTATTCAGAATCTTGGCTGGCGTGTGCTGCAGCTCTGTGAGAGTTAATTAACAGACATGGGGACAGACCCACTGAGTTTTGGGGGCTCTGCAAACTCGGAGAAGGAAGTTTCTTGAGGAGAAAACCCATAAAACAAACAGCACTCGACTTCCTTCTGTCCTTTGCCCTTAAAACGCACATGCACACGCACACAAACAAATTTTAATTGTGCTAAGAGTGACACCTCCTGGCTACTTTGCAGCACTGATTTCTAGTGAGTCGTCCATTGCTTGGGCTGCCCAAATGATTGCTGCATGATTTGCCAGACTGGTGAGCAGGAACCCAGGGCAATTGCTTGTAGAATCAGCTCTGCAGAAAATGGCTCGCTCTGGGGGCAGCGGCGGCCACACAGCTCTGTGGCAACAATTCCACGTCAGGTGCGTTTTCTTGTAGGAATGGAATTTTCAGGGGACGTGATGGAGGCCGGCGTGGCTGTGACCAGCGTGAAGGAGGTGAGCGGAATGAGGGGACTTGCTTGTGTTTGGGAAATGGTTGGGTCTGTGAGGAAAGGAAAGGTGTGCTCTTTAGGCTGTTGCTCCCTGTTCTGCTTGCAGCCGGAGCCGGGAAAGGGGAAAGGTGGAAGGAAACCAAAGTAGCAGGATGCATCCACACCACAGCCTGCTTTGGGGCAGATTTAGCCCCGTACCCTGCGCCAGACGGCTTCGGCCCGAGACATTTTCTGCCCGGGGCAAAGAACAAGATGGCATTGTTCGCCTCTTCCAAACTGGCAACTGAATTCCAACTCTCGAAACAAGACGGGGTCTCCCACCGTACCTGAGAGCAGCAGGACAGCTTAGGGGGCATAACGGGCATTAGTGGGCCACATGGGACCCCCAGCTCCGCTCTCCCTCACCCCGCCACCCCGCAGCATTTGCCGTCTGTGGCAGCCAACTCCCGCTACCTGGTGGTAGGGCCGGCCCTGAGCCAGACGTGGGGAGAAGAGGTCCTGCCAGAAAGAGGCTTCACTCAGTGTTCGGACACTGTCGCTCTCCTGGACAACCCCTGTCGCTCTGCTCCTCGTATCCCTGCCCTCCCACCTGCCATTTGGATTGGCATCAATGGGTAAGCAACGTGGCGGCTGCCTAGTTGCTGTTGTTGGGCACGCGCATTTGAACATGCCTGGTATGGACAAAGCCCTCCGTTTGGACATGAGCTTATTCGTGGGGAGCAGGAGTGAGCGCTGGCTGTTTCACCCTCTTTGGCGTTGACTTTGCACAGGGTGACCGTGTTGTTGGTGTGACAAGTACCAACGCTTTGGCTGAGGAGTATGTTGCCGATCAGAAGGTAAGCGACAACACCCTTCGAAGGCGTTCATGGCTCTTTAGAGTTTCCACATCTACTAAATTATATTGTTGTAAACTGCCCAGAGAGCGTTGGCTATTCGGCCGTAGAGGAATTAAATTAATAACAGACATGATTAACTGATTTAAGGATGCAGATTAAAACAAACTGATTGCTGTAATGCATACACACACAAGGCTGCCCCAAGCGTTTTGCAGCTGGAAGGGGAGGGCAAAGGGTCTCTGTCCTGTTTGGTGAGCAAAGCCAACTGGGTTGGCCATTGAATTTTCCTTCCGTGCAGGAGACTAGGTATCATCCATCTCCATGTCTGAGGGCAGCAGGCTAGTTTAGGGCGCGGGTCCTCCAGATGGGCTAGTTTAGGGGCTCGGATGGTCCACATCGTTGTTCTGCTTGGCTGGACCTTCCCAGTGCAGGAGCTAATTTTCTTCCTCTCAGTCACTCTCCCGCAGCTCTCTCTGTAGTTGCATTGATTGCCGCTTCATCTTTTATCACCTGCTTCACTTCCTGTGTTGCACAGTCCTGGCTGGAGGGCCTACAGGGGCTTCGGGAACTGTGCTGAGGCTGCATTAAAGTCCCTCTGCAGGTGCAAGATGCGCTCCCTTTCTCTTCCCCTTTGGCAAAGGGCTGGCAAGGCCACTGAGAGTCATCTCGTCTGTCTCCCCTTGTGCAGCTGCTCTGGACCATCCCCCAGGGAGTCGCCTACGAAGATGCTGCAACACTGCCCGTCTCCTACGGGACCGCCATCTTAGCGCTCGAACACAGAGCACGGACCCAGCCGGGGTGAGTGCCGGCACGACTGCTTCGTGGGAATCGGCAAGCACACGTTGCGTCTCGTTGCAAGCTGTGGCTGCCTGAGAGTTTTCCCTAGTTGGAAAACTTCATCCTGAGCAGTGTGGCTGTTTGCGTCGAATCCGTACCAGTGCTCGGGTAGAGATAAATCTGATGCAATTGTCCAAATGGTGCCATTTTGTTTCTCATGAAAACCGACCAGGTTTTTTATGCCCATATTTGGGATTTTACCAGTTTTCTGTAGAGCAAAAAATGGTGTCACAGAGCATGAGCCTCGCACTTTCAAGAGACTAAGTGTCGCCGTGTCAGAAGAGTGGTTTCCTGCGGAAAAGAGTGGGCTCCTGCGTAGGCAGATTCTCCACAGCTACAAGGCTCCAGCTCGGTTGTGATTTGGTCAGTGTTCTTGTTGCTCTTCCCAGGCCCGCTTCTTTGTCATGGCGCTTCTCTTGGTTGCAGGGAGACCGTTCTGGTGACAGCAGCAGCTGGTGCCACGGGGCTTGCCGTTGTGGATGTGGGAACCCATGTTCTTCGGGCGAAGGTATGCCTTCCTCTGCCTGCTGTTCCCTGGGGCGAATGATGGGGGCTTTGGGATCAAACAGGAATTGTGGAAGTCTCCACATTTGGGAAGAGAAGTGGTGAGCAGACAGCAAAATCAGCTGAAGCATCTAGTAGTGAAGTGAGGAGCAGCCATCAGATCTGTGCCTTCACGTATCCCACTGGGATAACCAGCCTTGCCCTTCTGGGTGGAAGGGACCACAGTCCAGCAGCGGAAGCAGGAGGTGTTTTATCCTGACACTCCTTACAGCACTTCCAGGACTACAGTATTAGAAAAATAGAAACAGAAACAGGGTGAGTCAGAAGGGACCTCCCGGGTCATCTGGTCTGACCCCCGGCTCCAGCTGGCTGCACTCATGACATGCCCGCCATGTGTTCTGGAAGGTCATCCAGAGCAGATGCTGCGAGAGCTGCCTGGAAGAGGAGGAATAGCTGAGAATCGCCTTTGGCCAGCAGGAGTCTCTCTGTGTGGCATTTCATTGTGGATCCAGCGGGCCGCTCTGCTTCCTCCATTCCTTCCAAAAGGCTGCTTAGGCCTCTTTTATGTTCTTAATGAGTTCTGGCATAACGTCGATGCAAAGGGTTCACCTGAAGCGTTTGGCACGGCAGCCGGAGCGTTGCATGGCGTGGTTGGTGATGGAGGTGGCCTTCTCGGTGGCAGGTGATCGCCGCAGCGGGCAATGACAAGAAGTGCAGCCTGGCTCTCGAGAAGGGGGCATTCCAGAGCGTGAACTACAGCGGGGCCAGCCTGAGAGAGCAAGTTAAGAAGCTGACGGCGGGAAAGGGGGTCGATGTGGTCATTGACACCGTCGGTGGAGACGTCTTCAAGGAGGCGATGCACAGGTGGGCAACGGTCAGGGGCCGTTTCGCTGCGAGGCCGGGACGGAGCCCGCAGTACATGATCCTGGGGGAGTGCTGAGCGAGCGGCAGCAATCCCCGGAAACGACCCAGCCAGCGTTTGAGGCGCGCTTCCCAAGATGAAGAGCCATCACCCATCTCTCATGCCCAAGTCATGCGATTCCGCGGCAGGCTCAGGTGCAGTCGAGAGCGGCTAAAAATGTTTTAAAATATGCATCGTAAAGGTGCAAGAGGTGGCAGCTGCAGCCCAGTAGGGGAAACCTGGCAGTAACCCTTACGGTGCAGGGACATTTTGCGTCTGCTGTTGACCCCTCTCACTTGTCCGCACCCACTTTTTCAGCCTGGCTTGGGAAGGCAGGATCGTGGTGGTGGGATTTGCTGGAGGAACAATCCCTTCCATCCCAGCCAACCTGCTGCTGCTGAAGAACATCTCTGCCCTGGGACTGTTCTGGGGCCGGTACCGGGAGCAGGACTTCCCGGTCTTCTCCTCGGCGCTCTCTTCCGCTCTTCTGCACTGCCGGGAGGGACGCGTTCGTCCTCACGTGGGCGCTGTGTTCAAGCTGGAGGAGGTAAGGAGGGGCAGGCTGGGGGAGGGCAGCCGTCCCCTTGCTGCAGAGAAGCCCGCCCTTCTGCCAGAGGAAGGGCCTCTGGAGCCGCTCCGTTCGGAAGGCGCACGTGCTTCAGTCCCCCTGGATCTGTGCCGGGTCCAGGACGCCAGCGGCAGGGCTCTGGCTGGGGCCCCGGAGGTGGCTGGAGGTCACGGCAGGGCCAGAGGGCAAGTCAGGAACAGGCGATGCTCCGGTTGCGTCACGGTGCGGGTGGAGGCAAAGGCAGAATTGAGCAGGTGAGCCGAGCACAGCAAGACAAGGGCAGAACTGGAGCAGCTCAGTGGCCAGGTAGGAGACGCCAGAGGCCAGAGTGGGGGCCGCGGCCGGCAGGACTGCTGTCCAAGGGACAGAAGGAAAGGTGATCCGGTCCGTGAAGGCCCATGTTGCGGTAGCCGAGCCGAGCGGCGTGAGGAGCCCCTCCGAGAACCTCCCGGCTGCACAGGCTGTGTGATCGCAGTGGCTGCCGTCCTTGCGGGTCCTGCCAGGCCCGATCCTGATCCTGATCCTGCAGGCACTTGCACAGGGAACCAGGCTGCAGATTCCAGCACTCTGGCTTGCAAGGAGTGGCATGCCCCCCTCCCATCCAAATCAGCCCGCACATGGAGAGCTAGCATGTCAGGAATCAGGGTCCCAGTGCTAGCCTTCTTCCTCATGTATCAGGCTCCGAAATAAATGAATCTGGCCAATGTAGGGGGGCGCTGATATCGGGGACACACATCCGCCCCCCCCCCCAGCCTTCTGTAGTACAGTCTCTGGCAGTCTATACCATGTACTTTTCCTCAAATGTTTGCATTAGAAAACATTGGCTGAATTAATTACTACCCTTCTGCGGGGAACTCTTGCACTCTGGTTCCCTTATGACTTGGCCCCTGTGGCGACTTACTTTCCTAGTGAAAATCCCCTTCTTGCCAGCAAAGCACCTAAAAGATGCATCAGGTGTGTTTCAGAGGATGAGGAAATCTACAGGCCAGCAAGACTAAGATCCAGCATCAGATGCAGCTGCATTAGATTCTGAAACAGAGGCACTGGGAGGGTGGTGTGTTCGCCCACCCACGCAGCCAGGTCCTTGCTGTTCCTTCCCTGGAAAAACGGGAAGCTCTAATTGCGATACCTGTGGGCTTAAGAACCCTTATTTAATCCTGTTTCCCAGAAGGTGGCAGAGCTCTGCAATGTGTCACTTTCTGCATAAAAACATCGCATTTAATACAGCAAGGCCAGGGTCTGGCAGTGGGAGGCACCGGAGACCAAGGACAGCTTCGAGGGCTCCTAGAATGATCACTGACCCATAAGCGCGAGGTTGTACTGCTTGTCTAGCAGATCTGTCTTCCGCCTTAAAGACTCCTCGCCAGGCAGTTATTACAAAGGCAGAAAGTGCTCAAAGACAGTTGTGTAAATATGGATGAGTTACTCTTCTCTTTCAGGGTGAATAATGGCATTTCCACCTCCTTTTATTCAGAGCACTTAGCGCTGTGCCCATTTTTCATATTGAGAGCAGCTGGCTGGTTTACTGAAATAAAAGCCCATAAGTGGATTTTAATTTTCTCTCAGGTTGAAGTCCGGCAGCTGGTCCATTGCCCTTTGGTGGGAAAGTGGGTGGCCACATCGGACATTGAGGCTTTGGGGGGGCTGTTTCTTGTTGGGGGGAAGTCAGGACCCAGTGACAGGCATGGCCTTTTAGTAGTCAAGGTGACAAAAACAAGAGGCAGATGTTTGATAGTTTAGCCTTTCATTCCAGGATTTATTCGTATCCTGTTTTTCTCACCAAAAGGAAGTCCAAAATGATTTGGGGAGCAAAATCTCTTGAGTTGTAGCTATTTTTGCCTCACTGGAAATACTGCCTCACTGGAGAGCCTGTGTGGGGTGGACAGAAAGAAAATCTCTGGATCATTTGCCACTGTAGGGAAGAACCGGTCTTTTGCCTCAGGAATTTTGCCTCTGTTGAAATCACAGAAATCTTGAGCAACTGGGAAAAGATTCTTGTGAGAAAAGCATGTGAGCACTATTCATTTGCTACTAAAAACAGACTCCCGGGCTCAGGGTACACTCAGGGACGCTCAGTTCTTTAATTCTGAGGAATATTAAGATGGAGAGCTTCTTTCTAGAAGATGCATTTGAAAGTGTTGCTATGCCAGCACATTTCTGTGCTGTTTACAGCTGAAAATAACCCAAGGAACAGTGAAGTCTGTAATTCATCCAGGGGGCTCTCTCCTCGCTCCCTCTGAGTAACATTCCAATTCCTATTATGATCTCTTTTAGGATGTACAAACCTCCTGCTCTCCATTCCTTGTACAAATGTCTTAATGACATTTCCTGGTTGTTGTCTTGAATTCTTGGAACCAATCTCCTTTGGCAGAAACAAACAAACAACTGGATTTTAAAAATCCAACTTCTTGAATGTGGATGCTTATTCAAGGCCATCTAGCACGTTTCCAGCTTCTTTTTGACACCATATCCAAAGAAGTCCAATTCCTGTGCCATACAGTTAATGTATGAGGGTTCTTCAAAAAGTTTCTGCACTTTTTAAAACTCTATTAAGAATTTCAAAAACAAATGACATCACTTTTCTACAGTCAGCTTCCTTCACGATGCATTTTTCTTAGCATCATACCAACTTTTTAATGCCACCAGCAAAAATGATCTAAAATATATTTATAAAATATAAAAGTGCAGAAACTTTTTGAAGACCCCTTGTATAAGTCAGACAAGCTTGTCTCCATGATCAGTGGCCTTAAAATAACTGGTGGTGTTCCCAGGTTAGAGGGCCAGGTCCCAATTTATTCCTCAGTAGCCAAAGGGATCTGGAATTGCAGTTTTCATGGAATTGACATGGCCATGCTAAAAGTGCATAGCACCCACCCTCACAGTCAGCCACAGGGCTGAGGTATACCTGCTTTAAGTCCACCCTTGTAAATGTGCCACCTGCATGTCCACAGGTAACACTGTCAATGCTGGCAAGTCCCTGAAAATAGGTGTGTGCCCTGCACCTTTGGGAAGCTTCTCCAGCCTCTTGGTCTGAATTTGTTTGCAGGTTAACGAAGCCTTTGCCCACGTGACCCAGAGGAAATCCACAGGAAAGGTCATCATCTCCATTAGCTAAGCTTGCAGCTCACCATATTTACATCCTCCCAAAGAGAAAGAGGACCGCAGTCATGAATCCAAAATGATTTGCTAAAGGTGCGACCCTTTGCATGTTTGGATAGGGAAAACACCCTGCAACAGCCTGTTGAAACATGCATGGGATTGCTCCCTGAGTGATTGGAGCGTTGTTTGGATTATGGAAGCAGCCGCCGTGTCTAAGCAAGACTGCTGTGTTTGTGGTCGGGCAGTAGCATCCTTCGCAGAGTCCAAATTCAACGCTGGTCAGGATTGTGTGTCATCTGCTGTCAGTGCACAATTCCTCTTGCTTTCCTGCTGGGTGGAGCAGCAGCAAAATTGGACAGCGCAGTTTTCCAGGTCTAGACTACACTCAGATATGCAAACCCAGATCATTGGCACAGATGTAAAGGAAGCCATTCTGCCTTTGGAGCCGAATTGTTCTGGCTGTATGAGTGACCTGGATGGAGGCTGCCTCCACTTGAAACCGCATGTGGGCCTCTTTGAGCATTTTCATGGAGCAAGCAGAAGGGAAACGAGCAAATAGAGTGGAACTGTCTTGATTGCCCGCCTGAGCACCCATTCTCTCTGGATGGCTGCTTTTGAGAGGGGAGGGGTGTGAGGTAGAAGATCAAGCCCTGGCCACCTGCCCAAGGGATCGGCTCCTTGGTCTGAGCTTCCTCTGTGTAAGCAGAACTGGTCCCTGGGCCTTTGGTTGTGGATCCAGAACAACAGAGGCCTTCAGGGAAATCATCAGGGCTGGAGCTGTGTGCAGGAAGCCCCCTCGCTTCCTATGCATGATGCTTCCACATGATTTCTGACCAGCCTCCATAATTCCTCCTCCACAACTGCTCAACACGCTAGTCCTCACATGTGAACTGTGGACCACTGAGCTATGATGTCATATAATCAGGAAAAGGTCACTTTGACCAAGAGCCAAACTAAATGTACTTGGCTGCACTTGTAGGAAATGAATTCCATATTCTGTTTTTCCACATTTTAAAAAATACCAATAAGAGCCTCGACCAGAAGCTGGCGTGAGTGGAAAAATGAGCAAACCCTAATTGGGAGAGGCTTCATGTGTCCTTTTCCCTCTCTGTGCTTTTCAGCAAAAGCAACACATGCTTTTCTGTACCACAATGGTCTTGCGTCAGCAACTTTCAGCCTCAAATAAAATGGGAGATGATTGGTGATGTTTTATTAACTTAAAAATCTGCACAAGCTTCCTTTTAATAGCTGCACTTAAAAGTCTGAGGTCCTTTTTCAGCTTTTCTCATTTTTAGAATTCCTGAAGATTTTATCTTGCACTACCTGCATAAATCAGGAAAACTCAGGGAGATAATATTTAAGGAAAGTGTCCTTAACATGCCAGTAGAAAGAATTAATTGCCATGCTTTTAAATAATGAAAGAAAACAACAATGTACAATGAAAATGTGAAATAAAATAATGCACTCTTTGGAAGGTGTTTGATCATGCACTGATGTTTTTCCTGTAAACATTAAGTGTCAAGTCCGTGCCTTCATGTTCATTCATCCCTTTAAATTTCCTCCATATATCTACCGACCTACATTCTCATGGGCTTCACCACCACACCAGATATATTTAGGATCTTGGTATCAGCTGTTTTGATATGTCCATTTGGACAGGAAAAACACGAGGTAATCTATGGAAATATATAATCCCTGCCTCCACCTGCTGCAAAATACTGCAAAATTAGCAGATTTCTAAACAAGGATTTACATAACTTTGTGTTCATTAAAGGACTTGGGCTTGTGTGGTTTTAAAATCCTTAAGTTTCTACTAACATGAAAATCTATAGCCAACCCATAATGATCTATTCATAAATCTTTTGCACACCATGAGTAAGATGTTCATTGAAAGTAAGGGAAAATAGCATGTTGAAGCTTTTATAAACAAAAAGCTACACAGTTTCTTCTCAGTCCAGCCTGCCACTAAGACATCTGCATTTTAAGCCAACTTCTTGCACCAAATTCTGAATTCTGGGGATCCAGAAATGTGCATTAAAAAAGCAATGTTTCCAGCATGCCAAATTCTGCAGCTAGGTCAATATAAACAATACCACCTGTTTGATAATGACTACAGTGTTATTTCTTTGGAAAAAGCTACCCTTTTCCCTAGATTCTTGGCCACTCACGAAAAGTCTGGGCCATTTTTACCAACAACAATCGCAAGCCAAACATGAACGACGCATGGGGGATTTTATCGTATTTTAAACCAATCTTAACATTTACAGAACTCCTATAAATAATGCATGTCCTTGAATTACAGATGCTCCGGGGACTTGCTTCCGTGGCTCTGCCAGCCAGGGACCCCTTTTAATGACAAAGCCCGTAGCCACGTGGATAGGAAGTGCTTTGTCGCCTGGTTTGTCAATTAAGCGTGCCTTTTCATGGAAGATCAAGAGGAAAGAATGACGGGTCTCTCACAGCATTGAGAGCTTCTCTAGAGAAGCGCGATGGGACTTGTGCGAGAGGGCAGGTGGCATGCTCAGCTGGGGGAACGCCATGAGAATTGCCCCCTCGGAGGCCCCGGCCGGCTTCCCCGTGCAGCAGCGGCACGAGATGGTTGAGTGGCCCTTGGTTCTTCAGTCTTGGGGGGCAAGCAGCAGTGTGGCGGCAGATGTAGAAGCGGGGGTCCTTCCATGAGAGTGGAGCCACCCCCCCCCACAAAAGCCACTCCCAGTTGCTGTGCAAAAAGGAGAAATGAAATTTGGCTGCTACCGTTGAAATGTAACTACTGCCGTGCAAACAGTTTCCATCACCTTGAAGGTACGCTCTGCCTATTCAGTCCTTCACAACTGAAGTGTGGGCATAAATAATGAGGACTACGGGGTCAAGTGGGACAGGAGGTCGTTTCGGGAGCAGCAAGGGCAAGCTGGCTGCCTTTTTCGTATACGTTAGTTTGCACTGCAGGGGCATCCAGGAAGTTTGTCCTCAAATAATTCCAAGCAGCATGTCAAGAAACCAACCTCTGCTTTGCTGCTCTTGTTATTTAGCATTTGCAAATGACATTTGGCCTTTCTTCAAGTCTCTAAAAAATATTGCATGTACAGGCTTACCCCCAGTACTCAGGTTTTTTCTACAAAAGGCTTTTAAGCAAGCACTGTACTAAGACTTCTGCTCGACTGGATTCTTTGCTGAGCTAAGAAAGTCTCTTTTAACTCTCCCTTCCCCAAGTTTGCACTGCCTTTACACAACCAACGGTGGCACCATGGTACATGAAAATTACAAACATGCATGCAGGTTCGTTGTGCCCTTTCCAGGTAATTCCAAACTCCCCTTGAACTTTAAAAAGAGCTACACCAACGGATGGACTCTCAACCTAAGCTGTCTGCCAGGGTTGTTGTGGGAGAAAATGGAGATCATGAAAGTCCCCTTGAATTTCTTGCCGGAAAGTGTGGGATATAAATACAATAAATAAACCATCAAAACACTGAGCTGGAGGAGAACTTGTGAGGCCATTCAATAGGCATATGTGTCTCTATATTTAAAAGATTTACTTGTATGAGCTGCAGACCTCAGAAGTACTATTATCCCCTCTTTCAAACAGGAGACAGAACGTCTGATAAAATCATGGGTTAGATCTAGATTTAACCATGTCCAGAGGAGACCTACATATATCAACAAGATCTACCCTGTGAGTAACACACCTCATTCAATGGGTCTGCTTGAAGCAGGAACCCAGCTAAATGTGCATCCAAGCAAGCCTGCTGTGACACGCGTGTGGGTCATGCAAAACCATAGGAAGTGATCATAGAAACAGAGTGTCAGAACCCCGGAATCTCAATTTGAGAAGAGGAAATAAAACTCGGGTTCGTGGGAAAGATCAAGCGTCCAGACCATCTGAGGCTTTATTGTATTATCCAAGGTTCCCGCGGTACTCACGATAATGCATGCATTACCGGGCAGGCAGAGGTGAACTCTGCTGCAAAGCTTCAACACCATTGCAGGGTATTTTATAGGTACACAGGTACAGGGCAATTGATGACAGAATGCAGAGATTACAATAAGATTCTGAGGTCATCACATACAGAACAGATAAAGAAATGTCAGTCAATCACACAGTAACAATGAGATTACAATATTTCTAATTGCCTGTATTGACACTTTAGTTCAGTAGCTTGAACCCATCTCCAGGTCTGCTTAGACATGTGAATTCAAGCTACTGAGAAACTATGCATGAGCTCAAGACTCTTATCTGGACTCTAGACATTCTGAATTGGCCAGGGCACATGGAGCCTCTGCGCTAGGAAGATACTGCCTTGAATTCCAACCATGACTGTTTAATCATTGTGAAGGTATACAGTGTAAATTCGGACCAAATGGCCTGTGTACTGTAGCTTACAGCTAAAGGTGAGAGAAAGGAGTGGGGGATGAATGCCATTTTAAACAGTGACAGCTTGGTTTTGAGAAGGAAGACAGGATTTGATCCCACAATGCAAAAAGCACACAGAAGTAATGCTTTTCAGACAGGATTTATCCAAATTTTCCCAACAAGAGCAAGTCAGTAAGGGTCTCCCGGGTCATCTAGTCTGACCCCTGGCTCCACTCTTCATTTCAGAATGAACGTTATTCCCATGCCCATTTAAGCAGATTTGATGAATTAATTGGTCAGTACATGATTAGTCAGCCAAGATTTCTTACAGCAGATGACAGCCGTGGAAATAAGCCACGGAAAAGCCAGATAAAATATCATAAAAGATATTTATGACATCTTTCTTTGGCTCATTCTCCTCCTTTCCTCTAGACTCGGCCGGGTGTGTGTGGCAACAACAGGACTGCCACAATATGCTTCTCTAAGAACCCCCTGTAGAACTTCTATGCTTGCATTGCAGACGGACGTTCCCTTGGCATATCAAGTCAAGTGACATTGGCTGCCGCGGCCAAACACTGAGCTGAGCTCTCAGGATGCGTCAACAGCACACCTGCAAATGCTGTTGTTGCAAAGGCCATTTCTCACCCAGGAGAAAATGTGCAAATGTATGATGAAGGCAACACAATCACACCTCCCCGGGAGAGAAAGAGCAGCTATTTTTAGGGTCTATGTTCCAGGGGGTACTCTCACCTTGTAAGAACACAAAGGACCTCCAAGGCCCCATAAATAAGTAACAGCAATATGGAGGTAGAAAACGCGCATGATCAGAGCATTGGACAAAGGGACATCACACACATGTGCCCACAGGGACAGAGAGGGAGAACTGTGAAGTAGAACGGAAATACATGCTCAGCTCCGCGAACAGAAAAACAATACATCCAAGTGGCAACCCCCCATCCTTAAGCTAGCGCTCACCTATCTCCAAAAGGTATGCTCGGTGTTAAAAAAGTAAAACCCTTCTCAGTGGGATGCTTCAAGGAAGAATACTCACAACCAGGCTCAAACGATTTTCTGATGCACTTCGCTCCCTTTGTTCCCGCATGTCTCTCAGGGGTTTGGCACCCCGGTTGGAAAGCACAACAAAAGAAATTCACCGGGATCTAAACTGCACAAGCAGGATTCAGAACAGATTCATCTTTGAGGTTACTGACAAACCCTTCTCGGGACCTTGGCTGTGTAAGACAGGAATGGTATCCTTGCCGTAGGATAGTTGAAAGGTCGTGTCTGAAGGAAGGGTTATGGCTGGAAATCAGTCAGTCCAATGGATTCATGGTCAAGTGGAGATTTAAACGAGGACGGATCCTATTTCCCAACTCTGTGCTGTGTGTCCTACAAACTGCGAGTGATAGGCAATGTAGTTGTGGCTGGGACTGTCAAACGTGCTTCTGAGTCATTACGCACAGATTATGCAGAGGGCTGATGGTACAACTCCTCTTTTATTTGGAGGAAACCAGATGGTGGGGAGAGCATCCATTGCCTCTCATTGGACTGGAACCCTACATATATCTGGGTGCGCCCCTGCTAGAGAGACTTGAAGGCAGAAGGGGCAGCCCAACCAGGAGATGGATGGATTGCATCTTGGAAGCCACAGCTCCGAGTTTGCAGCAGCAGAGCAGGATGTCAAGGACAGCCCATTTGGAAGGCGTTTGTTCACAGGGCCGCCATAAGTCGCAGACCTCCGAAGGAAAGCACAACCGAATCCACAGCCCCTCAAAGGTCTTGGTCTTTGGTGTTCTTACACAAGCAGGCGCCCTTTTCTGGCAACGCAGCCAAGTGGCCTCCCCAACACCATCAGCTTTTGCACAGTGCGGGTCTCAAACAGTCTTTAAAGCGGCATTCATTCTGCTGCTTTGCTGCTTAAGATAGCGCAAGAGACACGCGAGCCAGCTCCCGCGTGACCGCCTTCCCATGGCGGCGTCGCAGCTCCGACCAGCTTTTCCCTCACCCGCGTCGCAGCTTTTAAATAGGTCCGGCGAGAGACAACAGGGGCGGCTCGAAGGTTCCGGCGAGCTGACGTGGCACGGAGCGCCCGTAGGCGAGGCTATGCAGATACGGAGCATCTGCGAAGGCTTCCACTTAGCGATAGGCGGTGTAAGTAACCCTTTGGAAGGGCATTGATAGAGACACGAAGCGTGCGTGGAATAAGGCTGGGGTGGGGGTCCAAGACAGGGAAGAGGAAAGGCGTGACATAAAACGTCTCCTTACAACACTTTAAGAAAACGTGTCCGTTCTTTGGAAACTTTCTCTTGCATGGATCCTCGTGCTTTACCGTCTCTTCTTCCAAACAGCTTTGAGTCTCGTTCCAGCTGCTTCGCAAGCAATTAAGCCCTTGGTGGAACGGGAGGAAACTCCGCCCGCAGCTTTGCGAAACAAGTGGCGTGCATGGATTTGGAAGCGCAGGAGGGTCTGTAAAAGCTGCCGGTGTAGAAACAAACAGCCGCCCTATAATGAATTAATTTAGAGGAGCGGAGGAAAAACGGCAAAATACGAGAGCCCGCCGGGAGAAGAGATGGCAGCTCCGTCCCGGAGCGTGCTCACCTGTGGATGCTCTTACCCCGCGCCAGAATTTCCAGTGTCATTCAAGGGAGAGGATTCTGCACGGCTGCCTCCCCAAGTCCGGTGCTTGCCAGGACTGCAGCTCCCAGATCCCCCGTCGAGCCTGTGTGGTTGGGGATGCTGGGAATTGTGGTCCAACACATCTGGAGAGTGCTGGGGTGGGGAAAGCAGAAATGGATTGCTTGCTTAGTTTGATGGTTTTCTTGCACTTGAATAGCCTACTAATTGTGCATTTGAATCTCAATCGGAATCGGAACCAGAGAGTTCCTTGGAGTCCTGGAAGTGCAGAGCTCAGCCGTTGTGGCTTGGAGAGAAAGGATTCTCTTCCTCTCCAGTCCCTACAGCATCTTTTGTGCTTTACAATGCAAACCTATGCATGTTTAGGCAGGAGGAAGGCTTAATCTCCCAGCATGCCCCAGCGTAGCTGGCTCAGGCATCCTGGGGGATGTCAGATTTCTTTCAGTCTAAGCCTGCATGGGATCGAACCCTTACTTAACGAGAGAGCCGGACAAGACCGGCAGTAAGTGTGCGAGCCCAAAGCCCCTGCACTAAATCCCTTCTCATCCGTGGATGCTTTGCACTGTTCTCCAGCCCTTCCCCAGCTCTCCCTGTCTGTCAGCATCTGCACTTGGAGAGTATTAATGCTGGACTCCCTTCCAGGATGGTTGGAAATGGCACTCTGGTAAAGATCCGACTTCGGCAGTCTATTCTGCTGTCATCTTTAATCTGTGGGGACAGACCCCGGCAGTTTGTGGTCCCTGGGCAGCTCAGTGCAGCCCTTCCTCTGAACAACTCACCTTTGATTATCAGAAGCAACCGTGAAACATTTGGGCGGGCCTTGATGGCAGGGGGATGTGTGCAAACATGACAGGGGAGGGGGAACAATCTGGAGGGCTTGGCCAAACCTGCACTGGGACCTTTGAATAAGGCTGCCCATATTTTAGCTCCGTGGAAGACCTCCGAGTCGCCAGGGTGCCTTTTTGCCTTTGCTTTAGAATCCACTCCTCGGTCTGCAAAGGAAGCCGGCCGGGAGGGCAGCCTTTGCCCTGCGCAATCAGTGTTCCCGGGACTTTGGCCCTGAAAAATGCAGGGAGTGGACTCAGTCAGGCGTCAGCCGATGTGGCAGGTGGACTTTGTCAGCAGCCTTTGGGGACATGCGTTGTGGAGACCAGGCCGCAGCAGCAGAAACAGGTGGTCCCACTTGTACGCAGGTGTGTGCATGCGTGTACATGTGGACCCACGTGCTGCTGGGAAAATGCCTCTCCCCCACCTTGTCCTGGATTTATCTTGGGGTGTCTGAGGACGTGATGCGAGACACCGCGGAGAATTGGATTTAAACACAGGCTAATGTTGAACACAAGTCAGGATTGAAGGAGACAACTCTGATTTGTTGGTGCTGCTGTTAGGACAACTCGCCGTTGGACTGTGCAAGAGGAAAGGTATTGAAAGCAGAGAGTGTGTGACTTTGAAAAAGTGCTCTAAGAAGGGCAGAAGCCTGCAAGGTGTTTTCAAACACGACCTTCTGGGTTGCTGCATGTGATTTTTCAGTAAAATGGTTGGTACTAAAGGGATCAAACTGTGTACAAGACCTCCTCCAGTTTCTGGCCAAACACAGGGCTGTTATAAAATACAATTACGAGATGCAAAGGAGTTTACGCGAAGGGGAAAGTGCTTTTAATTATCTTCATCTTATTTACACACTCTGTTTCCAAGACCTTGGACAATGCTGCTCTCACCTTCCCAGTAAGAGGCCAAGTAGAATAGCTGGGCAATTGGAATTTGGCCCAAGGGAAGGGAAAGAGACTCACCCCTTCTTGGAGGTTGGGCTTTCAGGGGTGCTGCTGCAGTTTGGGGGGCTGCTGCTGTGGAGCTGATGCTGCCTGGTGACTCTCTTCCTGCTTAAACTTCTTGAACAGATATTTCCAAACATCCTTTATGTTTCTAGTCCTCTGTGTTTCAAAAGAGCCTGGAGCTACTGTGTCGGAATGTGACCGGTGGAGACAGATAATGCTTAAGAAGGGCTTCCTCCCTTTATGCTGGACCCTTCTGTGCACCACTTGAAGGTGTAACCCCATAGCTGTAACTTTGGGATTCCGTATCTCTTGTTCTGAAGGAGGCCTCCTTCTGTGGGATCACCCTCCTGTTGCTTCTCTTGTGCTTGCAGGAAGCTGAAACCATCCTGAGAGAAGGAACGCGGAACAGAAACAGGCCGCGCGGCAAGTCCCGGATGGATGCTTGGGGTCCACCACGGCAGCCCCAGACTCCAGGGAGGCACACCGCCTGGGTCGCAGGCCACGACCGGGGCCCCTGGAGGCGGGTCTCCCGTGGAACTCCACCTCCTCATCCCAGCCATGGTGGCGAGCGGATGTACCCCGCTGGATCGCAGGCAGTGCCTCCGCCCTGGCCGGAGGCCCAGACAGGATACTACCATCCTGCCTATCATCCGCAGCTCCAGGACTTTAGGAGGCCGAGCTCCAGGGCTGAGTACTATGAGAGCAGCCACCCCAACTGGTCTCACCCAAGGTGTGCAGGAAGTCATGCTTGATAAGGGTGGGGCTTGTTTTGGGGAGAGCCGCAGGGCAGCTTCTCCCGGGTGCCCTCTCTGCGTAACCCAGAGGGCCATGGACGTCGTCTGTCACTTTCCACATATCCATTTCCTGGCAGAATCCTGCGCACAAGATTAGGCTGCCGGGTAGAGAGCGTTGTGGTTCAGTGGGGATTGGAACCCAGGCTCAGGTTTTGGTTTTGCAGCAACGCAGCCACAAGGTGCCCTGTTGTATCAAAATGGGGGTGTCGGGCAGCGCTTCCTTCAGAATTGCTTTCCCCTAGCTGTTTTCCTGTCTGGTGGGAGTGTTTTTGACTGATTCTGCAATAATTTTTCTGCTGTGGTGAGAGAAGCAGTTTGTGGGCCGATTGTTAAGGGGAAAGCGGTCCATGGATTCCACATGCCCTTTCCTGCTCCACTACCCTAATCAAAGGTGGATTTCTCCATGGCTGCATTAAAATAAAAACAAACATCAAAAAGCAATTTTGGACGATGCATCATGGAAGACCCATGGTTTCCCACCATGTGAATTGCGGTGCATTTTCCCTACTCTCATCTCCTCTTTTGAGTCCATGAGGAGAGAGTTGGGAGTGTTCCTTTCCAATTTTAAACAAACCACAGTTTCCCCTGATGTCAGAAGGTAAGAAACTATAGTTTGCTTAAACTCTAATTTCAGGTGAAGCCAGGATCTGAAACTCCAGTTTGATCCTGACTTCTCATTATGGTTAGTAGTTCTTACAGTTGTTGTTCTGTGTTGTAAGTCATCTTAAGTCTATTATCTGGGCAGGTGGTGGGCTTTCTCTCACTAGAGACATTAAAACCATCTGGACAGTCATCCAAATGGGATGATGTAACTTAGTGTCCTGCAATCGCTTCTTTATCATCACAAAACAAGAGGAATTTAAATAACTGCACAAAGAGAGTCTGTCTGTCTTTCTGCTCATTCTGTTTGGGTTGCACTTCAGGCAAGGTTATGAAGATCTGTATTGGCGCTCCATGGAAAATTATGCATATGGCGGCTACGAGAGGTACCCTCCGGTGCAGCTGAGTGGAAAAGGTACTGCATTTTCCATCGGGGCTTGGGGTGGTGGTGGTGGAGGAGCAGCCGATTCAAGTATTTTTTTGGTGATGTGTGCGAAGAGGGGCTGTAGATCTTGAGCGTGTTGGTGGTCGTCGTGCACAAATTCTTTTCCAGGAAGCCACGCCTAAGCCCTCCGCCATTCTGTCTTTACCATTCTCCATAGCTCTATGGCATGCGGGGACCGAAACTTCACTGTGGTTTGGTTTGCCATGGTTCTGGTAAACCATGGTTTTGCTATGTCGAATGGCCCTCCTCCAGAGGAGAGACCTGGTTCAGGCCTGTGGAATGGCAGTGTTTAAAGATTAAGTGTTGAGAGAAAGGCCAAGGTTGCCACCGCAACAGAAGCCCCTCGCAAATCTTCCGCTCCCCCAGTGGCACTGCCAGAGGCTGGATGGGAACGGCACAGCACACGCTCTGTGCTTCAGAGCAGAGGCGCAACCGGGAAGATCCGCTGGCCTCTTTCCAGTCGTGGCCAGCACGTGGACCTTTGCCTGAGACTGGCTAATCTGGCTAAGAGTACCATATTCGAATATGTGAGTGCTAACGGTCTCGTACTCACACAGTGCACAGACAGACCCCCTGCTTGAATCTGCTTGTTTATTTGTAACCCGCTTAGGACTTAGAAAGCCAGGACTTTCCCTGGAAGCAAAAATGATGGAACTGAAGCTGTTGTACTGCAGGCAAGGTTGGTGCAACAGGAGAAGACTCTGGCCAGACTCCTTGGAGAAGACACTCCTGCTGGGGAAAGTCCAAGGCAGATGGTACAGTTCCGCAAAGGAAGCCCCTGCCTGGAGTTTCCAAGAGCTGAGCGGGGCTGTCAAAGGCAGGAATGTTGGCTTGCTCCCCTTCACAGGGTTGCCTTAAGTCAGAGACAGCTTAATGGTACACAACAACAAGCCCTCTTAGACCACTCAGTACACAGACTAGTAATGCATGTGCTGAAATATAATAATGAAACAATGATAGAACAACGCATGGTGAAATAATGCAAAAGCAGAAACGGGCTAAAGAACATAATAAACGAAAGAAGGCCATGAGCAAAACAAAGCAACCATACAGGCATCTAAATGTACTTAAACAGTTCTTAAAATGCATGTATGAGAATTCTTGAGCATGGACAACAGTGCCGCCGGACCAGAGCTTCCCCAGAAGCCGTTGTCCTTCGGTCTCCTCCAGTCCTTATAGGACCCTTTAGAAAAGCCAACCCCGACCAGCCTGAATAATTTGTTTCCAGGACTCCGTATTTCCTACACTGCAAACTCTCTGAAGGGCCTTTTCTGTGCCTTGAGATTTGGCTATAGTGTAGAAATTTTCCAGGTAAAGCTCCTTCTTCCTTTATCTCTTGAAAAGTTTCACCTGCTGCCAAGGTAGACAGAGGCAGGATGAGTAGAAAATCAATACAATTAATGATGGGTTGTGGCCTCTTTTACGCAGACGTTCCTTGTTTCTGACTATAATCCTGTGGAGAACAGCACGCAGGCACATCAGACGGGTGTTTATGATGCTGCAGAGACGTTTTGAAGTGTTACTGATGCCTTGAAACAGCTGCTCTTTTATATTTTTCTGAGTATGTAGATCCAGGACAGAGGGATACCTCAGCAAATTCCTGGGACCAGAGTTACTACCAGAATTCTCCTCTTGAGGACAGTGGTGGCTTTGGAGGGCATAATGAAGTGACACCAATTCGGTAAGGAAGTCTTGGAGGAAGTGCCAAGAACTGGCCATCCCAGAGGGAAGGCACCCGTGGTCTTCTTAGTCCAGTGTTTGTAGCATTCAGTGGGTTTTGGCTCACGGTCTCCTCCAACCTTCTCCAACCTGGTGCTTCCAGGTTGTTTGGATTGGAGCTCCCAGGATTCCTGGCCACAGTCCAACCTGGCTGGGGCTGATTGGAGTTGGTCTGGAACATCTGGTGGACATCAGGTTGGAGAATGCCCCACGGCACTTTTGAAAACCGGATGTCATCAGTTAAGCAGTGAAAGTAGGCAGAGATTATGCATGGCTACTCATGAGCAAAGGCTCTGGAAGGACACTGTGGTGAGCACTCTGGGGCACTGTGGAAAATTAAAATGGCAGCTCCAAGCCATGCTTGGAGTATGGCTCTTAATGGCAGGTAAGGCTGAGAAGGCCCTTCAATGTGCATGGAGAGGGGGAAAACTGAGGGTGTTTTTCCCAGGGTCCCCTTGAACCTAGAGCTGGCCCTGTTCAGTGAGGAGCGGCAGCCCAATTTACCATCTACATTTCGTGGGAACTGGATCCCTCTGGAGTGTTCCTGAGGCACTGTGTTCCCCAGGGAACAGGAGCATGACTTCAACCGCCGAGCGCTCTGTGAGGGTGTACGAACAGATTAGAAGCGAAATCCTGTCTTTTTGGCGCCTTTCTCCCCCAGCACTACAACACACGCATCCTACCAAGATGGGTTTGGGCCAAATCAAGATGGCTCCTATGATGCCAACTACAGCTCTCCTCTGCAACGAGAGTGGGCTCAGAAGGAATTCCAGGGGAACGTTTTGAAGAATGGAAGTGGAACAGCACCAGAGGTACCAGCTTTCAAGCATTCTGGTGCCCCATCCCAGCTGGCTCTGCAGCCCCCCTCCACAGACAGGGACAGCCATGGGCCAAGTGGGCACGGCAAGGGAACGGGTGGGCTGGGGAATGCCCACTCTGGTCCAGAAAGAAGCTACGAGGGAGTTGGGCCTGGTTTTATCTGGGCCAGCGCCCTCCCCATCTCTCCTCCTGTTCTCGCCTTCTCTTCCCATGCAGCATCCATGGCCGGAGGAGCCAAGCTTGCTCCAACAGTACAAAGACTCGGGGCTCAGTTCCAGTAGTTACGAGCTGAGCCAGTACATGGGCAACGCCTCCAACCAGTACGAAGCGGCTCCCTCCAGGGACTGGAGTCCCATTCAGGCAGGTGAGCAGCTCAGCTCCGCTGCTCCTCCCCACCTGGAAGCAGGTGGGGCCACAGTTCATGGGCCACCTTTGGAGATATCCGTGCTTGTGGCCTGCAGTCCAGGCCACGCTCATTCCCTTGGTGGGGCCACCAGCCAGTCCCTAAAAGTCTTTGTGCTTGTCGTTCAGCAGAAGACATCCGAGCTGCTTCCTCTCGCCCTGTGGCACCCCAGAAGTTTTCCCTCCCCCACGTCCCCGTATGCTTTGGGGCTGGAGGGCAGCTGGTCCGAGGATGTCCCAACTACCCGGCAGAGGGGCAGCCAGCCCTGGTTGAAATACACAGCCTAGAGGTAAACATTGACTTGCCACTTGGACTTGGCTTGCTGCTGCTCTGCCCAGAGGGGACCAGAGTGGCAACGCAGCTCGCCCGCTGGCTCCTCACTCGTTCTCCTCTGCCTTTTCTCCTTCTGCTCTTGCTCCCGGGCAACCGAGGCCCTTGCTTCACCGGCCTCTCTTGTTTCTGCTGGCATCTTCCATCTCTGGCTTCTCTTCTGGCGGCAAATGGGTTTTGTCCTGGAGTTCTGGCCTTTGGCGGAAACATCCCGCATGCTTCTCGCAGTCAGCACAAGCACTAGAAATTTGCTCTTAGAAAGAAGAAAGCTGAGATTCTGTGGGCAGGTGGGGATACCTGTTTTGCCGGACATGGTTTGCCATCCCGTGGCTCATGGAATGGCTCCTGCAGTGGCTGAGGGGCTGAGCTGTGATCCAGGCAGCCGGTGGCGCGGCCCTGCCCCCAGGCGAGCCGGTCTCCTTCAGGCTGCTCTGCGGGAATCTGGATGCTGCCGACAAATACATGGAAACGACGTGCGTGAGCTTCTTTGAGCAATCAGAAGATGCACCCGTGCTGTGCTGGGTTCCCTGGTGCAGCGCAGCCGAAGCACGTGAGGCGGCAAGGAAGGCCTTCATGCAGGCAGGGACTTGGGGTGGCCAAGCGACTCGCCTTTCCTCCCGCTTGGGTGCTCGCGGAAGGCAGGCCAAGCACGCCGCCCCGAGGGTTGACCAAAGGGGCGCTCGCAGCACATCTCCTCCATCGGCTGCACTTGGCTGGAGCGCAGGCTGTTGGCTCCATATTCTCAGGTTCCCGTCTCCCAGGCTCTCCTCTTTTGCAGGTTCTCCTGCACGACACCGCTGAGCAGGAGGCCATGCGGGTCTTCCCAGGACCTCTGATCAGGTACCCAGCGGATGGATGAGCATTGCTTAAGACTTCAGCGTGCAGGCTGGCTCGAACGCAGCCCTGTTGTGAAGCCGGCTGGGGCATCTGCGATGCTGCTAAGGGTAGCAAAGCAGGAAGCAGGCAGATCTGGGCAGGGGTGATGACGCTCATGTTGAGATCTACTCAGAATAATAATAAAATAAAACACATTTAATAATGATTTAATTAATCTAATTATTATTATTAATAAATTATATTTAACAATGATTTAATAAATTCAATAATTATTTAATATATTATTTAATATAATAAAATGTATTGTGTATAATATATATTTTATATAATATATAAATATTAAGTATGTAACTGTCTATTATATACTCAATAACATATTTACTATATTCTAATATATATTTAATAATACATTTAATGTATATTATATGAAATATATAATCAATTATATTCAATAATAATGTAAGAATTGATCATTACATTATTATTAAAGTATTAGTAATAAAACAATAATGTGGTAATTATGAAATGTATAATTTAATATATTAAAATATATTATTACATATCCACATAAAACATCTAATTAGTGGAGCCGATGGGCCATTACTGGCTGATCTTGTGCACCAGTCAATGAAAGAGCAATTGCCAAGACGTCTCACCCCTTGGCGGCCGGCTCGCCCGCAAAAGCAGGTCTCTGCGAACCGAACGCTGTCCAGCGCTCGAGGAAGCTGCAAGCGGGTCATAGTTTTCCTCTGGGGTGCTCACCGCATCTTTTCTTCCAGGGAGGATCTGCACAAGGTGGACGTGATGACTTTCTGCCGGCGCAGAGCAGCCATGGGGTGCGACCCGGCATCCAGTCCAGGCAGAGATTCTGCCCTGCTCTGGAAGCTCCTCCTCCTCCTCTGCCAGCAGAATGGGGTACGTACCTCTGGCATTGGGGGAAAGCCGACGGGGCCCTTGCATTTGCCGGAGCTGCACAGACTTCCCCTGCTTCGACTCCACTGTTACCCTGCTGTGTCAGCCACTGTCCGCCTCATCCACTGCACAGACCCAGAAATAAATATACTTCTGTTTGTGTGGCTGCATTCGTTCAGTGGGACGGGCAGGAAGGTGCATGATGGGATTGCAGTGGCCCCAGTTTACAGCTTCCGTTTCCCAGCTGATGTGCTCTAGGGACATCTGAGGCGTGTGCCGGTCGTTCTCGAAGGAGTATTTGGTTGGATCCGGGTGTCCATTCGGGAGGGATTCCATTGCTGAAGAGGGTCCTTTTTCTCGTATGGGACAATTGTTCTTCAGAGTATGAGAGCAATTAAAGTACAGCCTCGCTTTGCAGTCCTGGCATGCAAATCAACTGAGTGGGAATGAACTGTGCCAGTCCCAGGCTGGCGTTATTCTTGCCCCTGTCCTTGGGGTCTCCTGGGGAATGAATGTTGTGAGCCCAACTCTCCTCCTTTCCAGCAGTTCTAAACAGAAGGCATCTGAAATATTTGAGCTAATGGGCCTGTTGTTGTCCAGGGTGCTTCATAAGAAGGCTGCTGTCAAGCAGCATCAGTCCAAGTCAGGTTCCCTTGGTTTGTGGGAGCAGCCGTTGCCTGTGTGAAGACCTGATTCCAAATGGCAGAGCTGCTCGCCCCTTCTTTTCCCAAAAGGCTCGACTCCACCCTCAGGGAGGTTCACACTGCCTGTGGGCAGGACAGTGGGGATGTCAGAGGTTACTTAATTGTGCCGCTGTTTCAGGTTGGATGCCAGCTCAATGCATTAATGAACTCACATCCATGCCCTTCAGATCCTCCTTGTTCTAGTGTCTCTGCACAAACCAGAGGCTGCTTGGTTCTTGGCAGATGTCTGAGTAACCTTACTTGTTAACCTTGACATTTCTGTGCCAAATTCCAGCCCATCTCCTTCTCCCTAAGTGGGAATGCTGCGTTTTGAGAGAAATGGGCCCCACGTTGCCACAGTGAGGTGTGCTGGATCCTTTGGGCTCAGGACTGCCCTGCCCTGGGGTGGCCCTGCTTGTTCCCTCTCCCCAGAGGAATTGCCCTTGTTACTGGTTCTCCTCCATCAGGCACAGGTCTGCTCTTGGCCTGGAGATGAGCCATTCTGCCCCCCACAACTGACCTCTGGTGGGGCAACAAGATCGGTGATGTACACTGAAATGCAGGGTGTTGTGTGTACGGGAATTCGACCTTGAAAACTTTCAGGAACCTGGAGGGTTTCCCGTTTAGCAAAGTGAACAGGTAAAAGGGCGCATGTGTCTCTGCTCCCACCCGCCTTCTGTAACCCAGTGCCCGGTTGTGCTGTCTCCTCCCTTTCCCGTCCAGTCCATGGTGGGGTCGGATATCGCGGAACTGCTCATGCAGGAGCGCAAGCACCGGGAGAGGTACAGGAGGCAGGAGCCGGAAGCCAACTTGATCAACCTGGTGGAGGAAGAGTGGCCGGCACAGGGCTGTGGAATGACAGACCTTCTCACCGGTGGGGTGGTCCCCAGTGTTGCCACACCAGAGCAGACGGTGGAGAAGTTCACCAAGCTCCTCTTACACGGCAGAAAGAAAGTAAGCTGAAGGATCCTGTTTCCTGTGGTGTTTCCTGCTTTGTTTTTGAGCAAGGGGGCCTTGACTGCATACAGAATCTCACCACTGCAGCATCACATGATCACGTGTATACAGATCACCATTAAATAATACGGAATGGTCAGATCAGGCAAAGTCAATCCAGACATTAGTTCTTTTCAGTGGAGTCCGCCTAACAGGGTTGCTTGTACGGATTAGTGAAAAACAACGTGCTATTTACATGTTAACTCGGGTGCTTATACTAGCTAAAGGCCTCTACTAGTGAGCACAGCCCTGGTTTGGACTGGGACCTCTGCGTGCTTGGAGAGGAGGCTGGGGCACAGCTCTCCGCTTCTCCGCGTGCTCCCTCTCTCACAGGGAGTTTAGAAAAGGGAGACATAAAAGCGTCTTGTCCTGCTCGCCCATCTTTTTCTTGAGCCATGCAGTGCTGGGAGGGAATTGTGGGAAGTGTGGGCTGGGTGGCGGAATTTCATTCCAATCAGATCTGGGGACACACACACTCACGCCCAAGTAGGGAAGCGCCAGGGTCCAGCTGCGTGCCGCTTCATCAGCCCGTGGCACGCTTTGCAGCACGGAGCGTGGCAGGGCATGCCGGGGGCAAGGGACGCAGTGCCGGGAACGGGCGTCTGATGGGACCCTGCTTTCTTGCAGGAAGCTCTGGACTGGGCCATGAGGAACCACCTGTGGGGCCACGCGCTCTTCCTCTCCAGCAAGATGGACCTGCGGACCTACAGCTGGGTTCTGAGCGGGTGGGTAGCACCTGATGCCGGGGAGGGCCTCTCCGGCCTGCCCGCCTGCCGCTCTCCGCTGTGCAGGGCTCGCCACGTCTGCTGCAGGGGTGCCCTCTGTCTCCTTGCAGGTTCACCAGCACCCTGGCCGTCAACGACCCCCTGCAGACGCTCTTCCAGCTCATGTCCGGACGGATCCCCCAGGCATCTCTGGTACTGTGCCCGGCCACCTCTCCGGCCTCCGTGGCTTCTCTGTCTCTGGGTAGGCAGGAGGGCCCTGCTTGGGCTGGTGACCTGAAGGCAGGCCGGCCGGCTGCTGCCTGGGATGGACAGCCCAAGGGCCCCCGCACTGTGAGCTGTGCCACGCGGTGCCGCTTGCCACCCATCTGCTCTGCACCGGCAACTCTGGCCGTTGGCAGGGGTGATGCTCCAGCACAACACGGTGCCGGCCAGCGGGCCTGGGAAGCCACTGTGGTGCGACCTAGCCTCACATGGTGCCAGGGTCTCCCCCCACCCCGCCGGCCCCGCCTTGACCACCTGGCCCCCTCCGCCCCAGGTCCCAGTGCTCACTCCTGCCCAAGGCCGGCTGCTTTCCCTAAGAGGGTGCATTCCAAGGAAAGAGCTGGCCGGCTTCTGTTTGCCTCCGGTGCACTCTGCTGCCGCTCAGAGCAGGTGGGCTTCCCACCCCCGAGGCTGCCAGTCGGAAGTGCTTCCGTTCCTTTTCCCACGGCTGCATTGTCTCAAGGAATGCAAAAGCAGGCGCCCGGCACTGCTGAGGGTCACCAAGCCGCCGGTCTGGAGGATTCACCCTGCGTCTTCCAAGCGGCAACCCAGGCGATGGCTGAAGCACACCAGCCCGGCTTGACGCATCTTTCGGAGCCCGGCCCTAGTGTTTGGCTGGGTGGCATTTAGGGTTTTAGCTCAGCGGGGGGGATGATGGATGGGCATGGAAGACCTTGGCTGATGGACAAAGCCAGGCCTTGCTCCGTGGGGGGGCCCGGGCCGAAACAGGCTGGGTGTCCTTCGTTTGTCCATTGATGCCTTCTGTGCACAGATCATCTTCTCACTAAGCCTCTTGATTTTATTTATTTATTAAAAGCTTTTCTAACCTGTCCACTACAAATGTCTCAGGACAGCTTACAAAAAATGAAGAATAGCATTGATGGAAAACCAACACCTAATAATACTACCTGTGAAATCAAGCAGATAACTGAAAAACCCTACACGGCAGAACTGCAAGCGCCATTTTCCATGGCTTCTATCTAGCTCAGGTGGGGAGGCAGGATTTGGCAGGCTGGCATTGTCGAAGTGGGAGGCCCTGTGGCCAGGAATCCCTTCGGGGCACAAAGTGAATAATTAGCAGAGAAGACTAACCCTCAAGGGCGCCAAGTCCCTTCACTCGTCCTCCCTCTGCAGCGGATTTGGGTGGTGCATAGCAGGGTTTTGAGGGGGGAGCAGTTCCCTCCCAGTGGCAGAACAACAGAACTGGACACGATCCGTGCTGCTGACGCATTGCACGAGGCGGTGAATCTGTAGGGTGCTGCCCAGGTAAGCTGAGATACTCCTTTAGCAGGTCAGTTAAAGCCCCAGGTTTTTCACTGGATTCACAGGAATTTTGCCCTTCTTGGCTGATTATGTGAACTTAAGCAATCCCACGCGGAAACTTCTCTTCTGTCCCCAGAACCTACAGAGCAGATTTTCTGGGTCTGTGCCAGTGAGCAGAAGTGATATTTAATGCACGTAATGGTTAAAGTATTTTGCAGCTCACGTTTCCACCTCTTTCTCCTCAGTGCTGCGGGGATGAGAAGTGGGGCGACTGGAAGCCCCACCTGGCCGTTATCCTGTCCAATCAGGTGGGAGATCCAGGGCTGAATTCCAAGGCCATCGTCACCATGGGAGACACACTGGGTGAGGAGATGCGCCAAGGACAGGCCGCAACGGGGCGCGTGCTCCTGCTGCTGCCGCTCTCCTGCCGCCGGCCGGTCGGTCGGTCGGTCGGTCGCCTCTTGTGCTATTCTAGCCTTGCGGGAATGGCGGAATCTCATCGGGCCTGGGAAACCCCCCAGGAAGGGGTCTGTCCTCTGCTCCCATCCCCTGCTGTTCCTCCGCTCCACTGTTGGAGCGGTGGAGGGAGCCGCCTCGTGGGAGAGCGGCCTCTTGGCAGCCCCTTCAGCTTGAAGAACCTGGGGCCAAATGCGGCATGGTTGTGTTGCACACCTGTTCGTCCTTTCGGAGTCTGCACCTGTACCTCTGCGAGCCAGACTGCAACTGCAGTGAGGGCAGCTCTGAGCCCCGTCCACCAGACGATCGATTGCCCCCTCACTTCCTTTTTGTCTGAAAAGTATCGGCCACGCAAGGCCAAAACTAGCCCTCAGGCAAAACCTTAGCTAAGAGTAGGAGCACATCCCCTGTGGATGAACGATCTTCCTCCCATTCCATCACTCCTGGTTTAGAAGTGCGAGCAAATTCCTTGACCCAGGGAGGAGGCTGCCTTTTGTGTCCCTGCATGAGTTCCTGCTCTGGATATCCCCTCTGCTAACCCATAGACCAGAATAAACTCTGCCTCTGGAGCCAGAGTGGATGAAGAGTAGTGATGGATCCAGCTGAAGGGGCTCTCCGGTCTTAGGTTATGTCCCACAATGTTGACCCTGGAAGTCTAGGAAGCTCCCAAACTGAACATGAGTGCACTGAAGCTCTCTCCTGCCTGGCAGCCGGATTTTTGGAAATATTTCTGTCTTAAGCTTGAGCGATGTCCCCAGCTGGGATGCATGGATCCAGTCTCCAAAGCTTTAGTGTAGCCATCGCATAATATCTGTCGGGGTTGAGCAGTTCCTGAGAGCCAATGGTGGAAATCAGAAATCAATAACTAGTGTCCGCCGTTTGAGTTTCTGCCCACTTTCATCAAACGCGGGAGGAGCCAGAGCCCTTCCTTAGCTTCAGCACCCACGTTCCTTTCTGCTCCCACACAAGGAATTGGCTCTGGTCGGCAAAAGCTCAGAGCACGAGGAACCTGGACGCCAAGAAGCCAAGATGAGCTTCCAGGCTTCCCTTACGCTCTCCGTCTCCAGTTCTGCCCCTTGTAAAAATTGACTATGGATATTCATGGCCATTCAGCTTGCTCCAGGAAATGGCAGGGTATTAGAAGAACAGAAAGTCTGAATCTTTCAGTCATGGAAGGGGCAAGAGTTGTCCCCCCTCTGCAGGATCCCCACTGCCTTCTCTGCAGTGGCTCTTTGCGTCAACAGAGGCCGAGTGTGAATCGCCGTCTCGTCTCACTTCCCCATAACGGATAACACGTCTCCCTTTTACCCACCCAGCTGCGAAAGAGTTAATTGAAGCTGCTCACGTCTGCTACCTGATGGCCGATGTTCCTTTCGGCCACTACGGAGTGAAGGCGGACCGCATGGTCCTGCTGGGCAGTAGCCAGAGGTGAGTTCAGCCAGAGATGGGGAAGGTTTGGTGGGGCTCCGAGTGCAACGTTCGCTATTCCGGACATGTCAGAACTTCCGAGTGCTGCGGAAGCTCAGGGGTTCTGGCTCCTTGGAAGGAGGTCATTGGGAGGTTGATGGCTTTCCTGTGCCAGAAAGTTTATCAATGCTGTAATACGTATATGTATATTGATATGCAGTTGGCAGGCCGAGCACAAGATGAAGTCCCACAGCACTGAAACTTCAGTGGCTTCTTGTCCTGGTCATAGGCTGAGAGGGACCATTTGTGCTGGAGCCTGCCAGAGGTTTAGAGGGGCCCCTCGTGGCCTGACCCCACACCCCCGGGGGCCACTGCCAAGGTGCCCCTAGACCTTGCAGAGCAGCCTTCTGGTTCCCCAGGAAATGGAGATGGTCCGAGGGAGGCGGGGGGCTCTCTGTCGCTCAGGTGGGCAAGGGGCAGCGGTGTGGAGGGGAAGGGCAGGAGGAAGAGCAGCTGCCGACCCTGGTGGGGAGGGAGTGGTCTTGCGGAGGGAGGGAGCCTTTGCCAAGGGCCTCAGGATCTGGGTGGCGTCGGAGGTCCTTTGCCTGAGGGCCGTATCGCGTTCCGGAGACGTTTCCAGGGCCCCTCCCAGCCGTGGATGGGGCCAAAGGCAAAAGGGGGTGCGGTCAGAAGTGCCACCACGGCTGCAGTTTAGCTCCAAGCTCTGGCTGCCTACCAGTAGCGCGCCTTAGCAGAGGTCTTCAACTGGTTAAACTGGGGAGGCAATACTGCACAAGGGCTGGGAACCCACGGAAGGAGAGGCTGCGAGAAAGACAGGCAGGGCAGTGGGAAGGGGGCAGAAGCTCCTGGGACCCCCGGGGGTTGGCTGGGACCCCCAGGGGCCAAATTCAGCCCCCCAGCCTGAGGTTCCTCAAATCGGCAGCCATGTGCTTGTGCCAGTGGATTACGGAGAGCAAGGCAGATCCGTTCCGGCTCCAGCGCAAGGCCACTGCTCCAAATAGTTCTCCTCCTTGGCGGTGTCTGAACTGGGGAAGCCAGGGGAGAGGGGAAAGCTGCCCGCCAGAACCGCTGACCAACGGCCGCCTCACCCGCCAACTCCCGGCCTCGCTGGCGGCTGCGTCGTAGGCGTGCGCGGCCTGGTGCACCTGCCATCCTGTGCGTTGCTCCTGCGACATCTGGGCATGCCCGGCGCTGGTGCTGCCTCGCGGATCTTTGCCACCCAGGATCCTATTTGTCATCCAAACAGCTGGATGTTAGGAGAAGGTTGTGGGCAAGGCGGTTTCCCTGCGGAGGAGGAGGAGGGCGGCGCGTGGCCTTCCGAGCTTGTCCGTGTCCCGGCGACTCCGGGAGAGCGAAGAGGGTGTGCCCAGGAGCCGGCCTGCCCCGGATGATGACTTGGTGCGCGGGCGGCTTGGTGCGCTGGCAGGCAGCTTAGTCATTCCCCTTAAGAGGCACTGCTAAGGTTAAAAATCCAATTTAAGGAGCCAACAGTTCCACTTATGCTAATGAAACTCGGGCTGGATAATAAGGGAAACATTTTAACGATTCATTTCACCTTTACACCATTCGCTTCTTATTAGTACTCCAGGACCAAGCCAGTCTTGCATCTTCAAGCAGGCATTAAATCGACACGTTGGTGTTGCTCGGAGGAGAGGCTTTCGAGGCAGGATGTGCGGGGGCAGCCCGCAGGCTGACCTTTGGAAGGGTGTCCTGCTCGTCGTGCGACCTCGCGGTCGGCCCCCCTTCAGTTGCCGTGGGCTTGAGCCTTCCTAAAGTCCTGAGGCTTCAGCCTGACTCTCCCTCAAATCACGGGTTTTCAGAGGCGCCTCTGTGGCCCTCAGTTAAGTCCTGGACCAGGGAGTCAGCGCTCAGGACAAGCTTTAGAAGTGGCAGGATGGGCCTTCGTGGCAGCTGCAGGGATGCCGTGCCGGGCGGGGCGGGGCGTGTGAGCACGCGAAACGAGGTGCTGCTAACGATCACAGGTATTTTGCTGTGAGTCTTCTGCCTGCAAAGACAGCGAGTGCATCGTGGTTGCTATTTCAGAAGTCCCCCTCCCTCCACCTCCGTTTTTAAAAGCACTTAATTACCGCAAAGAAGGCAGCTTCCCCATTGCTGTGGCAGACAGGGGAGGCAGGAAGGCGTTTATTAATACACCCTCAGCGATTTAGTTAATTCACTGGCAGTGGTGTTGCCAGGTTGCAGTCTGATGCAGGCGCGGGTATTTTTAAGTTCTCTGCTGCACCATCTTTCGCAGTCTCCTTCCCAGGTCTGCTTGCCTGCTTCCAGAACAGAGCCTTCCCAACTTGGGGCCCTGCAGATGTGTTGGCTGCCTCAAACATCTGGAGTGTGCTGCATCAGGGAAGCCTGTTCTAGAGGGCTTATGATTTTGGGAGCCCTCCAAGTTGCTCTCCTAGACTCTATGCAAGGAATGGTGGGACAGGAAAAAAAAATTAAGGGTCCAGTTCCAGGACTTCTAGATGCCATCTAGATTGGACATTGGATAATTTGGAATTCCAGCTCTGACCTTGGAGAAACATGTGGAGGTCAGAGCTGGGACTGAATTTGAAGCCGGCACCACTCTTCCTATTCCAGCTCTGAGGCCCGAGGTCACAAGTCCGACTTCGGAATGGTGGGAGGGGGCAGGGGATGTGGGGAGGGGGTGAGACACTGCTGTCCTGCAGGGGATCCAGGCAGTTCTTTAGCTCCTTTCCTCGTAAGCCCAAATCAGCCAATGAAGCATTTGGGAGGGTCGGAAGCAAGCTTTGTCTCCAGCCTTCTCCTCTCTTCTGTTAGATGCCCATAATCCTCTGCGTTCAGAGCATTATGGGCAACCACACTAGATTGTGCTTTAAAAGAAGGTATAAATAATCCTGGACTGCAGGTGGCGCAGTGGTTTAAACCGCTGTGCCGCTGGGCTGGTTGATCGAAAGGTCGCCGGTTCGAATCTGCACAATGGAGTGAGCTCCTGTTGCTCTGTCCCAGCTCCTGCCAACCTTGCAGTTGGAAAGCATGCAAATGCAAGTAGATAAACAGGTACCACTTCGGTGGGCAGGTAACAGCGTTCCGTGCACTTCGGTGTCTAGTCATGCCGGCCCCATGACCACAGAGACTGTCTGTGGACAAACGCTGGCTCCCTCGCTAGGAAACGGAGATGAGCACCACTCCCTAAAGTAAAAGTTTTCCTAAAGTAAAAGAGATTTCAGATCTGCAAAAAACACTAAAAAATGCATATTTTTTCCTTTTCGCCTGAAATGATGTACATTATCAGCCCTGAGAAAAAGTGGGATGTTAATGCAATGTAGCAGTAGTAGTAATAATAGTTAATGTTTGGGTAATATGCAAATATATCTGAATTAATGTATCTAATGATTTTCATCCAGTGGCAGTTAACGGTGCTGAAATCTGCAAGCTGCTGGATGGAGAGAAGAGGCTGGACGGTGCACCAGGCGCGGCATCTTCCCATCCAGCCAGTTAGCTTTGGAGGACGGCGTTTGCTTTCCACCCCTGACTGTCCCTCCATTTCCCCTTCCAGCGAGCCATTCGCCCAGTTTTCGAGGACAGAGTGCATCCATCGGACAGAGATCTTTGAGTACTGCCGGTCGCTGGGAGCCCGGCAAGCTTTCCTCCCCTCATTCCAGGTAACCCAAACCCGACAACGAGTTGGCCATCAGCTGTGCAGGCTGGGAATCTTGGGATGTGCCGTTCAGCCGATGCAGGGTGCGCCAGGTTGGGGAAGGTGGGGTTAACCCCTTTGCATCCAGCCGCTTTTTGCTCCAACGCCCCTCCTTTGAAAGTCAAGGGCAGAAGAAGACAAGGAAGACCCAACGAGAGGTGCACTGACTCCCTTAAGAAAGCCACGATCCTGAATTGAGAACATTGGAATGGAGAACATTTGAGCAGGGATGTTGTGTATGGAACATTTTGCAGGGCTTTCGTACACGGGGTCGGAGATGACTTGATGGCACGTGACCGCGGCAATTCGTTGGTATTTAATCCATGGTCATTTGCCTGCATTCCCCCCATCTGAAGCCCAGTAGCCACTGTCAGCATGGACAAACAATGCCAGGGTACAGAGGCATCGCCTCGCTCATGGTTTCTGAAGATAACTTGCCTTTAATTAAACGGGGGTCTTTCCAACCATGATTAATTCTTTGATCTTGCATCAGGTTAGCTGGCTAGTTCTCTGTGGCCTCTGAGTAGGGGAAGCCCACGCAGTCCTGCGGGTGTGCTTGGTCACGGCTTCCATTAATCTTGACTACTTGCCAGGACCTTTAGCGCCGATGTGAGAGGTTTCCCACCCTGGTCTCACTGCTGCACTCCCCAAGTTGGAACTGGAAGCGGCTTGTTCCCCCTCTGCCATGATGCAAAGGCATCTTTTAACCTAAGGGCAGCTGATTGGGTGAGACCACCTGGAATGGAAGGGCCGTTGGCTTCATCCACGGAGGCAGTCCAGCTCGCATCTTGTTCTGCGTCTCTCCCCCCTGAAATCAGTCCCCGTTTTCCTTTTCTGCTTCACAGGTATACAAGCTGGTTTATGCCTCCCGTCTTCTGGACTTCGGTCTCCCGGCACAGGCCTTGCATTACTGTGAAGGGACTGGAATGATGCTCCTTGCCCAGAATGAGAACACTTACCCTGTCCTCCTGGACCAAGTTATCAAGGTGGGTCTTTGGTGGTGGATGAGGGGAGCTATCAAGAACATCACCTTATTGCTAAAGGGGGAAGTCCTAATGCACTGTCATGGCAGGAGGTTTGGATGCCCTTTTGTGATGGAAAGGATAGGATGGGGTCGGGAAGGGGCCAATGGGTGTTGTGTGCAAGATTTTGGGTTTGCAGAGGTGCTTTCTGCCACAGAGGGCTGGGTGCATCAGCAGCTGGTGCTGGAATACGGCAGATGTCTTTCTGCTGTCTTTTGTCCCAGTCTCTGCTTTGTCAGCATGGGAATCTGACGGGTGCCTCGAAAGGGACTGTTTCCTCTCTGGTAGGGCACCAGAACACAGCGATGCAAACCAAGCTGGCATTTTTTTCTGGCTGAAGGAATGGCAGCAGGGCAAACCCCTGCAAGATGGTGGCGCATGTCCATCAAATTGCAGTTCTATGAAGAGATGCATCTGCAGGCATTCATCGGATGCAGAGTTGTTCTTCCCCCACTGATCTCCCATGACCCCAAAGCACCAAACCCATCTGGGACTTTTAGGGTGGTTGAGAGAATAGCACAGTCTTTTCAAATGGGGTACTCCGCAGTCTTGGTGGAGGGAGAACACAATGCCCATCAGCCCCACCCATGGCCAATAGAGGCAATGGGAGTTGTAGTCCCACTGGAGGGCATCCAGTTGGAGAAGGCTGGATCCCATCAGAGTGGGAGTGACCCAGGGCAAGCAAGGTGCTAAATAGATCCTCCAATCACACGTCACCATAGCCCCGTTTGTCCTTCCTTCCTAAGCCATGGTCCTGACAAAAGCCACCCTGTGCTTTTCCATCGGTGCCGGACAGGAGCTTTTCTGCCGTTCCAAATGGCCACTGTGGGGAGGTGGCGTATGCGCATTTCCTTTGGAACAGAGGCATCGGAGGAAAGCGTCAGCCCCTCTCCCGAGCACGGCAATCCCGGCCAGCTGGCGTTTCCATTCAAGCCCCCCGCCACACCGTGCATTTAGCATCACGTTTAGCTTGGACCGGTCTCCAGACTGGTGACAAATTGCCACAGCAGGGCGCCTCCTTGACAGAATGGCAGCACACACTTGAGGGGAGAATTTTGGAGCATGCCTGGACAGAAGCTGTTCCCAGATTCTCCTGCGCCCAAGTGCGAGCATGTCAGATGTGTAAATAAATTCTGTCTTCATGCGGGACTCTCGCTTTTGCAGCGTGACAACTTCCAGGTCTGTGACAGACTTTCTGGAAGGTTGAAACGCTCTCCTGCTGGCGTTGAAGTGTTACATTTCTCATGCCTGCTTTCTGTCCATTTCTCCTCTCGCATGGAGGCATGGTGTGTCTTGAAGGACCCCCCGATCCGCCCTTGCACTCCTCGAGCCAAAAAATGACATGCGAACGAAGGCATGCGGTGAGGGCGTGGCAGTTGCTCGCTCAGCTGGGGGAGTTTGAAGACCAGTCTAAGGGATTCCACAACTGATTCCTTTTGGCTTGCCAGCTGGAGCATTTTGAAACTGGTGATGTTTCCATACATTTTCCAAGGGCAGCTCCATATTGGATTTTGCTAATCCAAGCTAGAGATCCCCCCGCATGCATCAACATAGCCAAATCTTTATTTCCCAAGACGGGTCACAGCTGGAGCAGCAGCCTGAAAATGGGCTTGTTTACCTGACCGAGAAGGCCCAAGCTGGGCCCACCCTTCATCAGCAGAGGACAAGGCACTCAGCCGTGCGAGATGCAGGGGAAATGGAAACAGCCACAACACAGCTATTAAGCAAATAACCCAAATTACAAAGCGATGGAGGCTTGTAGTAGCACAATTTGTTTCAAGGCAACCTGCTATTTCCGCTAATGTTTTGGTTGATGATCCTCGCATTGGCCTCATTTGCGCTTCTCCGATGCAAGTGCCCATTCACACGAATGGCTCCCAAGAAATTTGGTTTGGGAGCAGCCTCAGGGAGGGTCTGATGTGAGTGACATGCTGGCCGCCACCGAATTTGGTGAGGGTGGTCACAGGTGTGAGAAGGGTTGCGGTCTGGAGAAGGGTTTGAGGGGTACAGCCTGGGCCTTTGTGGATAGCTGGGAGCTCACTGAGCGATGTAAATGGGCTGCAGATTGGAGTGGCTAAGATGCCCCACAGGGCAGGGCCGTCTTCACAGCGTGACGGGCCCCGGGCAAAGCAGTGTCCTGGGCCCCCTACGACAGCTACAACTACTGTTAATTTTGCAAGTTTTCCAATTTTCCAAGGGTTAGCATACACAGATTAGTATGGGGCCCACGGGCAAGTGCCCATCAGGCCCAGGCGTTAAGACGGCCCTGGGCATGGGCACCAGATTTAATGCCCACCCTAGTCCTGGCCCCACCTTTGGGGGAGACCCTTGGGCAAGAGTCTTCTCACCGCTCCCCCTGCTGCCATTCTCTTGCCTTCTTCCTCTGGGCCCAATCCACAGTGTGCAAGGGAAATGGAGGACACCTCTGCTCCGTCTTGTTATTGTAGGCATGCTCAGGGCTAATGAAGGCCCGAGGGCAAGGGGGAAAGAGCAGGAGAGCTGCGAGGCCTAACCGAGGTGGTCTACTCTGTGGTGGCCCCTGCGAGGGTGGGGCCTCGGAAGCTGCCTGGCCATGTGGCCCTTTGATGCCAGCACCGGGCCTTTGGGGAGGGTTTTACTATTTTAACTGGCTGCACAATTTCAATGTTTTTCTCCATTCTTTAAGAAGCAACAGCCTTGGTTTAAGGCTTGCCTAAAAATAGTGTTTCCGGGTTCTCACTGTCTTCTAGTTCTGGATACCTATTTATCCTTTCTTAACAGAAATTAGGTTCATCATTTCAAGCTTGTGTTTCCAGTTCGGGCTTCAGGCCCTACTGCTTTGCCGTTGTTACTGTTCTGAGCTTAGGCTTGGGACGGAGGTAAAGGGTGTTGACGATGCTCCCTTGTCTCAGGTCCCAAGGACATCTAGAAGATCTGGGTGTCCCCTGGCTTGGACTGGGAGCACGAAAGCAGCCTACTGGGTGGTTTGCCCGAAACTGGTACCCCTGACCCTTTACCTTCACTGCTGCTTCACGCAAAGAAGCTTGGATACCACTGCAGCCCACCGGTCCTCAACGTTCCCTGTTGTCCTGCAGGGTTATGAATCTTTGGGGAATGACAAACCTCACCGCTCCTTCTCGACCCTGCAGTGCCAGCTGTATCAGAGGATCCCTGTGCACACTCCACAGTCCAGCTTCTCTCCATTTTTGCCAGAAGCATAAATACATGATCATGAAAATTAGCCTCTGATTTCAGTCTGTTCTTCCTGGAAGGTGCAGGGCACAATCATCATGGGCCAGGTCACTAATGTTGACCTGAATGCGCATAGCAATATTCAGACGCCTTCTGTTTTCCCAAGTCATCTTAGACTGGGGAAGAGACTGTAGGACATTCGGAGGCTGCAACATCCAGTCCCTGGCATTCTCTGCGGAGAATATGCCCTGGCTGAGCTGAGAAAGACCTTCTGCGGCTGGAGAGCCTTTCGGAGAAAGGTGACCATCCTGCCCTGGATACATCCACCCCCTGAGCTCCCTATTTTCTGTTCCCGGTCATCGCAATTGGCCTTCTGGAAAGGCAGCTAAAAGACCTGGGTATTTTTCCTGAATATGGTCGGAAGCACAGTCCTTACCCTAGGGCAGCCTTCCCCGACTCGGAGCACTCCCGAAGTTTTGGCCTGCTCCTTCCATCAGCCTCCGCCAGTATTCCCTACATTCGGGGGTGGTAGGAGCTGCAGGTGCAGCCAGGTTGGGGAAGGCTGTTGCGGAAGACCTGGCGAAGGCAGCCTCTGATCATTGGAGCTCATGTTTTTTGCTGGAGTCATGTACCGAGTGTTCCCGTGGCCAGTCCCCTTTCTCTGATTTAAACGATAGTCATCTGCCGCATGGTTTCAAGTTCACCTCTGTTCGTCTCTCCTCTCCTTTTCCTAATGAAACAGCTGGCTGAGCGACTGAAGCTCTCGGATCCTCGGCTGTCGGAGAGGCCCGGACAAGAGGAGCTGTTGGAACCAGATTGGCTGTCTGAGCTCCGAGCCCGGCAACGGCGGTGGGAGGTGAGAACTCGGGCTGTGGGGTGTGGAGGGACCAGTTCTGGCCCCCGCAGAGAGCTCCCCCACGTTGAACTGAAGGGAAGAGGAACGCAAAGCAGGCTCTCTGTGCTGCAGGGCTGGCATGGGCTGCCCACCCGGATGATCTGCAAAAGCACCTTTGGCGTCTTGCGATTTTTTGACAGGTGTTGAGTCAGGGTCAGTCCAGCGAAGCGATTGGCCAGGCTCAGCCACGACCCGTGAGAAGCATTATTTGAGCTTCTGCTAATGCGGGGGATCATGTCAGCCGTTGGTCGAGGGCGCAGATTTGTGACTCACACCCCTGGCCGAGAGGCTGGCCTGAAATGGAACGTGGTCTCCTTGGTTCTGTCCCTGCTGAGCTCCAGGGAGATCCCCGTGGCCAGCGGGAGGCGCTCTGGCTCTTAGGAACTGCCCTGCAGCCCCCCCCCCGCTTCCTCCTCCATCACTACGTGGCCGGCAGCTGCTGCAAGACGCAGGGACCTGTTTCCAACACGATCTTCTGTGACGGGACCAGCCTGCTGTCCTGCGGATTGGTGCCCTTGGTCACATGCCGGGGTGGGAGGCATGATCTGTGTGGAGCCCTGGTGCACTCTGGGTGCGTGTGAAGCAGCTCCCAACCAGGCCCATCCCTGCTTGTGCTCCACACGGTCTGCTCCCCCCACCCCCCACTGTTATCCGTTTTCAGGAGGAAGGTGGTGTTTCCAGTGCTGCACCCTATCCGCTAGAGGTTGCCCAGGCCAACGGATCAATCCCAGGTAAAAAAACCACCATAGAACAACAGTGGCATCTGAAAAAGAAAGCCACCTTCTCCGGTGCTCTGGGTCAAATTCAGTGCAACCCCTTCCAGTGTGGTCTGAGTCACACAAGTTCCAGTGGGACGGACTCAGAGGCACTCCTCGCAGCCCCATTTGTCCACTTTGCGTCAGATTCGGAGGGCCTCAGTGCTGTCACGGGCCGGCTGAAATGGACAGACACCCCCCTTCTTCCTAGCTGTAGCCGTATTACGGCTGACTCGCAGTTTGACCGCTTCTGCGCCTTAATTTCTAAGTAAACAAGCATCGGATCTAACTGCAAATGCCTCGGTTACATTAAAAAGAAGTAGGCTTTGGGTGCTCCCCAGAGTCTAATTCTCTTTTCTTTCACTGAAACAAGAGATCTAAATTACACAGGGCTGTTCACAATTGGCGTATGCATATGTTTTGTATAAAATCCAGGTTGGGCTCCTGAACTGAAGAATTATATTTGACTCCTTATTTATATGGAATAAGAATGTTGGTCTGTCCAGTACGGAGGGGACTGTCTGATCCAGCACCTATTCTTTCACCATTACAGCTAGAGATGCTGAGGACTGAACCAGGACCATCCACACTCAAAGTATTTGCTCCACCACTGAGCTGTAACCTCACCTGTTAGACTGACCATTCACGAAGTTCCCTACCTCCGTTTCTTTATCTGAGAATTGGGAGTAACGCTGAACTTCTCCGTCCAGTCTTAGGTCATCCAGATTTGGCTCCCCATTTTCAGTCTGTACAAAATGAAGGATGCTCTGAGGTCCTTGAGCAACATCCTGATAGTCACCCGTCACTAGGGGACTCCACTCGGTACCAGCCAGGTGTGGATCCGAGGCTGCACTTCCATCCCGGGGATCCAGCGGATGCTGATCTGGAAACCCGCTTTCCAGGGACCGGCCAAGCTGCCACGTTCTCCATGGGAGGGCCACGAGAGGAGCTTTCGACAAGTCTGCCCCAGCCACCAGGTAAAGAATGGTACTTTGAAGTAAGCGCGAATCAAATTCCAGCCTTAAGGAGAAATTTTTAAAAATTGTGGAAATGATTGAAGTTTTCTAGAAATGGATCAGACTTATGGCCAAAGAAGACATAGTTCATTTACACAGAGAGCAAACACTAGAAGGCTGGAGCGGTCTGGAGTGAGTGGGAACCCAACGAAGCTCCTGTCTCTTAATTTCCTACTTACATTTTAAGGAAGGCTTCCAGGGGAGCTCCAAGAGGAAATGAAAATAGCAGCCTCCAAGAGGACTATTTAAAAGGTGGGCAGCAGGAACAGAGGGAGGGTTCAGCCTGGCCCATTCGTGCAGAAACATCAATAATCTAAGATATGCCAGACATACCACATTAGGGGCAGAAAACCGTAACTAAGTGAAACTGTTCCCGGAAGTGCAGAAGCAGCCCTGCAGCTGCACATTAAGAAAACAGAAATCACGACTGCAAAAGAATCACAAAACTTTCCTGTCTACAAGGCAGACGTTGAAAAGTGAACGATTCTGCATACCTTGGCTCAGTCATCCGTTCAAAGGGAAGCTACAGCCAAGGAATTTGAAGAAGACTGAGCTTTGGAAGGGAAGTGATGGGGAAACTAGGAAAGCTCTGCAGGTGTAAGGACATTTCACCGGAGACCAAGGCCAGGATTATCCAAAATGTTGTATTTTCTATTGCAATGTGTGGGTGTGAAAGCTGGATGGTGAAGAAAGGACATTGAGGTGTTCAAAATATGGCGCTGGAGGAGAGCTTTGCAAATACCCCGGACTGACAGATGAACCAACAGGTGGGTCCTGGATCAAATCAAGCCAGAGCTTCCCCTCGAAGCAAAGATGACAAAGGCGAAGCTGTTGTACTTCCGGTTCATCCTGAGAAGGCAGGTGTCATGGGAGAAGCCCATCATGCTCGGGTAAGTCGAAGGCAGAAGAAGAGGAGGACGGCCAACCTGGAGAGGGATCAGCTCCATCAAGGAAGTCCCAGCCTTGGGTTGACAAGAGCGGAGCAGGGCTGTCATGGGCAGGACATCTTGGACAGCGTCCATTCATAGGGCCACCGTCAGTCAAAAACAGCTTGACCCCGTGTCACAACAGCTAAAGCGACATCCGCCCTCCTGCAGTATCTTTGGCTCCTGTTTACGTTCTCACCCGTGCAGCACAATTGCATGCGCACAGTTGACACCACAGTTGAAGGCTTACTTGGACCTTTCTTGGACAGCCTCGCAAGAGGTCCAGAGAGATGGTGTGGCTATTCCTTTAAGCTCGCCCCTGTTTTGACTGACTCTGGTTTTGGTGCTTTTCATGGCAGCCCATCACAGAAATCAGTTCACAACGCTTTTGCTGGCATCAGCGACAAAGGGATGAGAAGGATTTTTGTATCGGCTCGCTATCAAAAGCAAGCACAGAAACAGAGCAAGTGAAAAAAAAGTGTCGATCTTACTTGAACTGCCAGCAGATGGAACTGTTTCTTTACTAAACTCTGCTTTAAACAACCACCCTGGTTAAAGAGACGTCAGTTCCAAGGCTGCATTTAATCAGGGAGAGAGCAGAATTATGCCAAGTGGAAGAGGACTTCTTTTAATAGCGTGTGTGCTTTGCTCCCTGTAGCCCTTTGCGGCTACGCTTGCAATATCAGGACAATCCCCAAGTGGCTCCTTGGGTCAAGCAGATGCTTGTCTTGCCCTCTATGGATATATAGGTCTTGTGGGCACAGGGAAAATTAAGAGCTGTGCTGGCACACAAAGGTAAGCAAGCAGCTCTCAACACTCTGGGCAGAAACCGAGGGCCGACCAGCTTGCCTACACAGTAGCAACACTGTCGAACTCAGTAGGACCTAACTTTCCAGTGGATGTGTTTAGGACTGGAGCAAAGGAGAATGGGGGCTTTGTGTCTGCGTAGAAGGTCATAGCAAGAGCGTCTGTTGCCTGCAGCTGCCCATGTTGGTACCTGGTACCACTTACGTGCCAGAGGCTACTGGGTTGCACCAGGGCATCAGAGATGGTTCTTGATGTGTTGAAGCCTAGAACTTGGATAGTGTCATGAAATCTATTCTGCTCTGGTCTGCAGGGGGCACTGTGGAGTCCTGTGAGCCATACCAAGACCCTGGTGATCAGAAGAGTGGTCTGGACCATCAGGTGAGAGGTGGAGGAGATGTGACATCGTCGTTAGAAGGTTGGAGGAGTCTGACCTGATTTTAGCAGCTCTGGGCTGGTCGGGACTGGGTGTCAAGCAGTTTTCTGGGGTGGACCCTGGAGCTGGAGTGCAATCCAGTACCCCTCACCTTTGATGTATACGTACCAGAGGCATATGTGTACTTAATGGCTGGAGAAGGCAAAACTCCCTGGGCAACACATTCATGCTAAGGAAAGTCCAGGCAGAAGAAGAAAAGGAAGACCGAATATGAGATGGGTCAGTTCCGTCAAGGAAGCCACAGGCTGCAATTTGCAAGAGCCGAGGCGGGTTGTTAAGCGCAGGACAGTCTGGGGATCACCACATGTTGGAGGCAACTCGATGGCACACAGCCAGAAGAATGCCTGGTGCGAGGCCTGTGCCCCCTCTGGCTTTGGCCCATCCAGATGAAGTGTGTGGAAGGGGAGGGGAAGGGGCGGGGTTGCCACGTGGACATGGCCTCCTCCCCTCCTTGTCCTGTGAGGCCAGTCTGCAGCCTCGGGGAGCCAGCCAGCTTCGCTCTTTTCATGCCAGCCGTGAGGGGAGCGGGCTGGTGGTTCGTTCTCAGAATCCTTGCTTGGAGGTCACGAGACCCCGCCGGTGGGGCTTCAAACAATCCTGCGAGGCCAGAGGGTGCTGCTCTTAGTGTGTCAACCGCTTGGTTTCAGCAGCGCTGTTTCTTGCTAACATTTGAATAACGGAAGAAAGTGCTGCTGACTTGCTTTATTAGAACAGTAAATTTTCCAGTAGAATTTCTGCATTCTGTAACATTCAAAGTACATGGAATATGCAGCAACCTTTTCCTCAAACCTTTCAGCTCCACTCTTGTGGAGCACCGAGATGACAGTCATCTTTGTAGCCCACTAGTTTCTTAACTTGTACTCAGCAAGCATGCTAAATGAAATGACTCCCCAGTGATGTTCCCAACGCACGTGGAAAATTTCCCAGTGCAAGTTAGCTTGATTTGCATTGGAGACTTGCCGTGTTTGCAGTTTTCTGGAGATTCCCCCTCACTGGTGTCAGGTCAATCACATGCTCCTGGAGAGTCCAGTTTGTCCTGAGCTGGTGTGGATTGTTAATGGTTGAGGAACTGCTTCTTTTCTGTATGTCTGAAGATATTCTAGCAGAGTGGATTATAAAATGATAAGTGGCATAGGCAATGGAGGCGTGGAGATTTTCTCCCTCTTGCAATGGCGGCCCCTGGAGTAATGCGGTGAACCAGACATGGAAGGTTCAGAAGTACACGCAGCTCTCAGGATGTGGGGATGGCCCTGAACTTAGTTGTTTAGAGGGGCATGAGGCTATGCAGGCGGGGCGGGGGGGAAGCTATACACAGCTATTCGTCATGCTGGTGGTATTTGCTTCCAGGATCAGAGGAAGTGTGCCTCGGAAAATCAGTTTTTGGGAGCTCCAGTCGCGGCGGACTCTTGTCCTGTGGAAACAGGAAGGGAGAGGGCTTTGGCCTGGTTCTGCAGGTCTCTTCTTAGGACCTCCTGGCTCTGTGATCTTCCTTGATGAACATCCGTCTTTACACGTTGTGGAGTCCCGGATCGGGGTGTGTGAGGAACCCAGTTTGGGGGCAGGGATCTGTTAGATCTCCTCACGACCCCATTCCCTCTGCCCTAACTCTGCCTTGTGCCAAGAGTTCGTGTGGATGTTTAGCAGGAGTTCAACACAATTCTGCTTCTGTGCCCACAACTCAGGGCTTTGCACAAAGAATTCAGCAATTTGTGTATTTTCTGCCAAGAATTATGTACCCTGTGTATTTTGCACAAAGAACCGCATATCTTGCACAAAGAAGTTACAAGCGTTCCCAAGCATTCAAGGGCTCAATCTCAGCTTGGCTTGCGTCCTGGTGAGTCGAAGAGGGACCGATTCCCTAACCAAATATGGAACTTTGCATTCCTGTGAAATTCTTAGAAAATGTATCTATCTATCGTTTCATTTTACTTTCTATCCTTTTCCAAACACCATAGTCTCCAAAATGTTCATAAAAGGCAACAATTCCACTATGAAATACAAGATTCAAGTCCCTTTTTTGCATGGGCTTCTTTCTGCCACTTGGCCTCATTTTGTCGACCCCTGAAATGTGATGGATTCGTATTCTTCCGACAAGGAATGATATAAAGAAACATTCTGAGCAACTTTGATCCTAACGGAGAGGCTGAGAGTACAAATTTTTCGGTTTGGGATGCAGAGAATTTTCTCCTGATCAATGCACCTGGTGCGCTCATTCCGGTTTTTTTCTCCTGGACACTAGAATGCCCGAAATGCTCGGAACCGGACTGTCTCAGAGAGTTCCACAGTATCGATCATGGAGGATGCCCCTCCAAGCCCAGACGCTTCAGGGGAGGAAGCCGCTGGAGAGAAACTACCTGCAGAGGATGCAGAACGAGAGCAAGCAAAGGTGAGTCTTCCTGCGAAGCCCTTAAGCTCAACCTTAGGTTCTATTTAAGTTTACTGCCATTTAGAGGGCTCACCGAACCTCCTGAAGTATTTTCCCAGATCGGGAGCCATAAGCAAGATCTAACTTCTGTGCCAGCTGGCTGGAGATATTGCAGGAACAGCAACTGACACTGAACTTAACCTAATATATTGTTATTTATTTAAATATATTGAAACTCTCTCATACCTTTTGATATAATTTCACAGCACATCCTCAGAAGTAAGTCCCCCTGTGCTCAGTGGGGTCTACTTGCAATTAACTCTTTGTAGGATTGCAGTTTGAAAATATGTTCTTCATTATCTCAAGGTATGGTGATGAAAGCATTGAATGGAATGGTTTTAAAAGACCGATGGTGGGGAAAAAATACATTGCATCAGGGTGCTTCTAGACAAGACTTTTATCTTGCATCTCCCTGCCATATTCACTGAATTTTACAAGGGCTGCTCTTGCTGTCATCTTCTACTTGCGAGTTTTTATGCGTTTTCTGTCTTTTTGCTTCTTCCAAAAAATTCACGAAGGAGGAAAAGATGGAATAGCTGCACAGTGTTTCACTGGAAGCACCAGGAGTCTTTCATCCGGAAGCTCCCTGGATCTATCAAAGGTAGCTTAGTAGAACCTCCATGTTCAGTAACAGTTTATCCTTGACAGACACTTGGAACAAAGAAGTATTTGGATAGCCTTGTCTGGTTTGACATTTTTTCATAAAATCTGAGAGTACTTCTCAAACCCTTAAGAATTGTTTTGGGCTTATATAATCAGAACAGAAAACCTGCTACTTGAACCCACATTCAGTATCTTCTACATTCTGTCCAGTCTGAGTAGCATTCGCACACCTTGTTTTGCAAAAGAGACTCACAGACACTTTCAAGCGTCGTGTGTGAAGGTGTCGCTACAGAATGCAAGGCCCTCTGTAGTCTACCAGTTCCAGAAGATGGAAAAGTTTCATCATGGCCTTTGCTGCTTTCCAATTTTTCCACCAGTTCCTTCATCCGTGCTCACTGAAGATAGTCCAAGAGTTCCAACACCTAAGATTTTGTATCTTTCCAGGGATCTGGTTTTGGCTGGTTCAGCTGGTTCCGGTCCAAGCCCAAGAAAGATGCAGAACCCTCCAAGAAAGTACCAGAGCCTCCTTCGGACTTTCCCACTCCAGTTTTCCAGGTAACGAAGGGCGAAAGAATAAAAGAAACTGCATTTCTGCAGTAGCTTTCCGGAAGAAGCTTCTCCCCTTTGCCAACCTCCTGCAGCATTTGTACCTGACAGGAGAAAACTTGGGCAGCCAGGACTGATCTTCTCAGAGCAGAATCCCTAGCAGATATTGACCCACGCCCCCGGGGCTCCGCAGTGGGGCAGTTTGAAGATGGCCCCCGACCCTTGCAGGAAGGCTTCGGCTGGGCGTGCGACTGGCCCTCCCTGTGGTGCGTCTCTTGATGGCCGCCGCTGGCCAGTGAGGGTCAGGGAGCGTGGTGAGATCACTGAACGTTTGTGCAAGGCTTGTGGGAAAACTGCGGGAGACGACCCCTAAGAGGATGGCTGGCCGGGATGGATGCCGGCATTCGCTGTGGCACTGCCCCATGCAAAAAGGCCAAGGACCGGTTTAGCCATCCCGCATGATCATGTGGTAAAGTCTCTCCTGGACTGTATCACTTTGAGCTGCAGTGGGGATCGAAAGGTGAACCGCCCCCCCCCCCCCCCAAAACGAAATCATCAGGAAAAAACAGCATCCTCATAACACCCACAGAAAAGCAGCAGCTCAGGTTTGCACAAGCCCTTCTCCTAGGCTTGTTTCCCTTGGAAGGTTTTGGCCCATGGGAACCCCCCTCCTGCAGCCTGAAGTGGTACTGTTCAGGCAGACTTTTACCACTGGGTTCTGCCGAACGTAGGAACTTTCTGCCTCCCCCGTTGGGCACATTCTCCCCTTCCAGGGCCCCCAGCTCAGCCTCCCCACGACTGTTTGCCTGACTCATTCAACTTTACATGTACCTCCTGTTCCCACCGTCAAAGTTTCTTTAATATTTAAAATGCGACTCCCGAGGATTTATTACCTGGCTCGTTCCTCTTTCCCCTTTCCCCTCTGCTTCTCCTGGCTCATCGGTAATGTTAAATTTTTCTCCACCACTAATATTCCCCTTGATCTTTCCTTTCCCGCTACCTGACTGCAAGCGGATGGGCAGGTTTATTGGTGTTCTTTTTATCGATTGTGTAACATCGGGTTGTTTGGGATTATCACCATCAAGGCTACTGCTGTGGTGAAGCACTAGCCGCGCATACGGATTTTGGCACTGCAGTGAATTTACAGAGCAACGGAGGAAAGAAGGTGGTGGGAACCGGAAAAGAAGGGCAAGGAGCAAGAAACAGTACCAACAGTACCAACAGTACAGTATACACACCTGATGCAGAAATAAGAACAATTCTCTGTTTTTAATAACAGAGACATTTTGCATGGTTTTCGTTTGGCTAGTTCGTAATTTTGCCATCTTCTGTTTCTGCTCTGTCACTTTTATTATTGCTTTCGTTTCTCTGCTGCCCCATAGCCAGAGCTCTCTGGGTGGTTTGCAACCATGATGTGAGATTCAAATCATTCTTGAAGTCCCCCACAAGGTTGGCATGACAGTGGCTGGGGAAGGAGGGGGGCTGGTACAGGGTGGCCAGAGAAGTGGCAGATGGTATCCATCTGCAATAGGCAGCCATTACTGGAAGTTGTCCACGGAAACCCACCTAATTTCTGAGTTTTCTCAGGCCACCCAACCAATATTTCCAGGCTTGTCTCTTTCAGAGGATGAGCGGAGTGAAGTCTGGGCTGGGCTCCCCATTCCCATGTGTCTGGGGAGCCTGCAGACATGTGGCCATGTGGCGGGTTTTCTCTGGGTTCGTCAGAAACTGAGTCCATCAAATAGCTAGCGTGGGTGGTGAGAGCTGCCAGGACCGTCATCGAAACACACAGTCTCTGAGAAACAAGATGGAAGTATCTGCAGGGTGTGGAAAGTCAGAAGCACCAAACCCCAATGCAGCTGGGAGGGGAATCCCAAGACCACCTGTAACTGGTCCAAGGAGCTCAGCGTGTGCAAATTGGCTTCCGTGTGGGGAAACCTGTGTGTCGGGTGCAGCAGCCTTCCCCGGCCCCGGCCTGGGGCATGGGACTGATGCTTTGGACTCCAGCTCCCAGACTTCTGGGCCATTGGCCGTGATGGTTGAGGCTGATGGGAGTTGGAGTCCGCCACATATGGAGATTGCTTGAGGCTCCTTGGAGCCTTGTGTGTGCTCTTGCGGCAGCTCATGTTGGCCTGTGTCCCGGGGATGGATGGGACTCATTCTGGGCCAGGGAGCTGGGTCAGAATCTCACCACAAGGGAGGCAGAGGGCAGACTCCAGAAGTAGCTTTCAGCATGTTTGTTTCGCCCGTGGTGCACGGTTTCCTTTTTGCAGGAGAAGGGCTCTCCGCCACCTTTACTTCCTCCCTGGGGCGAGACAAAGCCTTCAGACTTTTCTCCTCCTCCTCCTCCTCCTCAGCTGCCTCGCAAGGATGGTGACCCTTTCCCCCAAAGCTCTCCAGGTAAATATATCCCTGCTTCTTCCTGAAAAAATTGCTAAATTTTGCTGATGTGGATGCGACAGACAAAACACTCTTGGTGTGCAAGGTGGGTGGAATTTGGGTTTTTTCCTTTTTTGGCAATTTCCACCCTTTCTGTGTTTCCCCAGCCTGCAAAATTTCACCCTAGACAGTTCCCCAGTCTTTGAATGAGTTTTGGAGAGTTGGGAGACGAAGGGGCCGCTGCTACGTGGGCCACAGCAGCCAAAGACCCTCATGTGGATGGAGCTTCCAGGCTCCTTTGCTTCCAAGTGCTGGAACAGGCTTCAAAATGGATTGACCTTGTTTCCTCAGGAACCCAAAATCCAGCAGGCCAGAGCGGCAGGGAAGAAGTCAGGCGACCGGATGCTGCAGACCAGGTGAGAGGAGGCAGGCAGCTGAGTCCTCCAGTTCGGAAAGGGTATCACCGGGGGAGGACGGGCTTTGGATACTCCACCCTGACAGATGTGCCAGACCACCTGTCCTGCGAATTTATTTCTCCTCATTTGATGGCCTCCATCTCTTATATCCTGTATTTTTCTTCAACGAGGGGGCTCGGCCTTTCCTCCAACCTTCCAGTGCCCACTTCTTGTTTTTTCTGGTTCATATTTCAGGCTAGATCCTCCAGAGAGCTCTCCAGCGCTGAATATGGAGTTCCACCCCCAATGGGAGGAATCCCACTTTTCAATCCTGCTCAGGTATGGCGTCATAAATGCGCCTAAATTGTATGGGGCCTCGCAACTGAAAGCAGCACGCAATAAACAACAACGCAAGAATGATTTCTGCTGCAGGATCCCTCCGGCCCAGCATTCTGTTTCCACCTAGCGGAGCAGGATAATGGGATTCTTTTGGTGTTCCTACTCTGGTCTGGCCCCAAGGGTTACACTGTCTCTGGATGTGCAGGTTGACTCATATGGCCGGAAGAGTCAGAGCGCTGGCCGTCGTTCTCCCTTTTGGCCAGTTCCTCTGGCAGGCGCTACTGTTCCAGGTCCACTGGGCTCAGCATGTGCTGGCGCCTCTCCCTTGGGTTTGGGTACAGAAGAACATTCAGCGAGGGTATCTCCGTCCTTCCTGCTGCAGAGGGAAGACTCACCATTGCGAGGGCTCCAAAATTCCATCCATGGCCTGCCGTTCTGTGGCCATAAAGCTAATAACATGTGGGGGGGGTTTAACCTGGCCACATAAAGATTTGCCCACCTGTGTGTTCTTTGGGGGTGCTAAAAGTGAGAACTTGATGTTCAGGGCAGTTCTTTCTGAAACAGGTCAGTGCGCAAGGAGCTTTTGGTGCCGCTCATCCGCCTAGGATTTTGCAGCGACGCTACCCAAGCCTTCCTCAGTGATCAAAGACGCCAGAGATCATCCTGCTTTTCTGGCAGAAGGAGCCCTTCCTGAAGACCACGACCGGCCGATCCACGCGACGCAGCTGTTCTGCCCACATTGCAGCTCTCCCTCCGACGAGAAGGAGCAGAAACGTGGGGGCGATGCGGACCTCGCTTTGCTCAGCGCCTTTTCAGTATATGGCTGAGCCGGCTGTGTGCGGTTGTGGCGCTTCTCCCTGCAATGAAGACAAGATGAAGCAGTCTCCGGCTGAGCCCAAGGAGACCGACTGAACATAGCAAGGAAAAAATTAACGCTGGGAAGGCCCACTTTCCCTTTCGCAGTCTCAGTAGATAAGGCCCCATTGACTCTGCAAAGTCACACCGATTCCTCCAGGTCTGGGCACTGGAGGGAGGAAACGGGGCGTGTGGGCCTGTGTAGGGCCGTTGGGAAGGAGCTTGGGGTCTCTTTAGCATGGGTGAAGCCACTGTGGGCTTCCAGATGCTTGGACCCGTGAGCCAGCGGAGCCAATGGGGAAGGGACAGAGGTGCTGCCGGAGAACAAATTCTGGAGGGGTGCCCCTGCCCCCTCCTGCCTTAGCAGTGTTGCCTTCATGCCCGGAGAGCTGCCTCCGCGCAGTGCAGGTGGCGCTTCGCACGGCACTGACTCAGCCCGCTTCCGTGCGCCTGGGGGACAGTCCTGGGAGGCCTCCGCCTGCGGAAGTGTGCCAGGAACCGCGCTGTGAGGCCGCAGTGCTGCGCTCGCTGATTGGGGGGAAGTTCATTGCCTGCGTACGACGTGGCTGAGTAAACGCGCATGGGATCCTGTGGAGGTTTCCATTAGAGTCCACACTATTGAGATGGACTCTGAACAAACACGCCAAAGGGTCAGGTGGTACATACATACCTGAGAGGGCTAAACTTCTATGCAGAGTTGCTTGGAGACCCGTCCCACAGACTTGTCTCCAAGTAAATTGCACATTCCAAGAACTTGGGAAAGAATTCTGCTATAATGCATCTCTCTCTCTCTCTCTCTCTCTCTCTCTCTCTCTCTCTCTCTCTCTCTCTCTCTCTCACACACACACACACACACACACACACACACACACACTGTCTCTGTCTGACTTTGATCCTCATTCAGGATCGCTAGAAGTCTGCACATAGCACGGAGCAGTCAGGAAACGAAAGCTGTGGGGAGGAGGCAGATTTTGGTGCAAGCTGTTGCTTAGCAACGGGAGAAGAGTAAACCTAGCGGTCTTCCTTTGGGCAGAGGGAGGTAACTTCAGAGAACTGCTTTTCTGGAGAGAGATGACCTACTGACAGGAGGGCCACCTTCCTTCCCGGCATGAGGTCCCTCTGTCTGAGGAGGTGCCTGCCTGTGAGATTCACTGTGAGAGAGGATGCTGCCTTCCAACCGGACGGGGCTCCTCCGTGGAAGTGGCACTGCCGGGACCTGATGCCCCTTGTAGAAATGAAACTTGGGCACCCCAGGCCAGCACTGACCTCGTTCTGGCAACATCTTCTACACAGGGTGGTCTCAGGGAGAGCGGAAAATGCTGGCCCTCTGTAGGGTGCTTTGTAGGGTTCCGAGAAACCAAGTCCAGAGGGACCTGTGTCTTCCTTTGTCTTGCCTCGGGGAAGGACATTGGGTTACTGCGCTGTCCTTCGGTCCCGTGTGTCATTGCTTTGTCTGTCTAATGTGTCGGTCTCCCCCTTTCCCCTTTCAAATAAAAAGCCCCGTGGTGGAATGGCTGCTCAGGCTTGGGAGTGAGGAACCCATGGCGTCGCGATCCCCTGTGGATGCCGAGCCCCACAAAGTATTGCTGTCTCAAGGGCTGCACAGCAAGCAAGGTGGCCTCAGCCGACAGGTGCATCCAGAAGGCAGGTGCTCGCCCTCCACTTGGCTGCTCCGCCTTCACCTTCATTTGCCAGGTGAATAAGGACGGGTTTGGTGTGCGGCTTCACTGTGAGAACTGGGCCGGCTGTCTCCATTACAAGACAATATTTTGCTTGGTTCATGCCATTTAGTAAAGTGAGTGCTGCAGATGACAATGTATTGTGTGAATGTTGAGCAAGGCATGGCCTGGCCCTCGTTGGGAGCTATTCATCAGCTCTCCACCATCGTTCTGTTCCTGGTACAAATTTCTCCCCTCCTGCTTGGATTGGGACCTCTTGCTCCTGCCAGGGGATTCTGTACACAAGTAGCGACTGAGAGGCAGGCAGGCCCTCCGTGAGAGAAGGATGTTACCACACCCACCTTCAGAGTGAACACCGCCAAGAGGGATTCTACTTGGTCACAGATATGCTGGTATGATTATTACTTGATAATGCAAAGATGCAAATAGTTGTTTTCAGCCTGTTTACTTGGAGGACAATTCTGTGCACATTAAGACGGAATAATGTTTGCTGCTGGATGCTTGGAGTTGTAGGATTCCCCCCCCTGTCTACACATGCACCCTTCACGCAATATTTTGTGATGATTATTAATTTTCTTTGTAAAGGCTTGGAAAAAGGTTCAGGAATAGAAAAGCAAGCAAGCAAAAAATACCAGCAATTTCGAATATAATGGCTAAGAATTCCGGGGGACCAGACTGTGTGGAAGGGCACTGGAGTCATTTACCCAATAATGGTATATTATTCATAGGCATGCTATTATTTATGTCAATGGGAGACACGAGCATCTCTTGAGGCATTTTGATAGCTTATTTGCCAGCTTAATGACTGGGTGGTGGCAGGAGCTCCCGGTTGCTGAGATTTGTGGGTCAACCCAAGCCTCTGCGGTGGGAAAGCAAAGCTGCGGTTCTACCTCCCCCTCCCAGGATGCATTGCAGCCGGGGGGGGGGACACACGCCTGAGGTTTTGCAACTCGGAGGCAAGAAGAATCCATGGAGGGCGCCAAATAGCGCTGTGAACAGTTGTCTTGCGACGCCTCGCTTGGCCCATGATCCCTGCCCCAGGGACATCCAATCTCTGTCGCCACGCCTTTATCTAATTTGCGGATGGACGCCGCGTCTGTTCTCCAGCACCCTCTCTCTCTGGCTCGGCCCACAGCCGTCCCCAGGATGGTATCTGCAGTCAGGAGTAGATCTGAGAGCTGACTGGGAGTGAGGATGACTGAAGGCGATGCTCTTCTGAATTGCCTGAAATGTGTCACCCGCATTTGTATCACAAAAGGGGGTGTGTGGCTTGCGGTGGGTTGTGAGGCACACCATCTCTCATTTCCCCTGGACTCAAACACTGCCCACGAGACTTTCACAAGCCTGCAGGTAGGAGAAGGGCAGCTCTCCTTGCTTGTGCCCGCAGCCAAACTCCTGTTCCAGCTGGGTATCCAGTACGGAGGCAGGCCCCTTGTGGATCCCCAGATAGTTTGGCTTACAATGCCCATCATCCCCCGCTAAGGTGGATGGGAGCTGTACATCAGAACAAGCACTGGCTTTTAGTTAGGCGAGGGTGAGAAACAGGCATTCTCCCGGCATGCAGTGCAGGATTATGCTCACCGGGACTGTCTAGGACACACGGTTTGAACCGGCTTCCTGGGTGGAAAATGAAGCGGAGGATTGTGGCCAGGAGGGTTTTCCTTCAGAGCAGTCGCTGCGAATGCTGGATCGACTGCACTGATACAGGCAGACGCGTGAGCC